GAGAACAATAAAGCCATGCATTCATGGTGCAACAACTCTGTATGGTACATTGTCTTATCTACTATATCTTACGGCTTCCCAGAACAATAGGGTCATTTTCTCTTACAAGCGACAGCGCTCAGTACTACATTTTACTACAAGTAGTAATTTGTAGTATTATGTAGGGTAAGGGTTAATGACATACAGAGATGGTCTCTTGAAGAGATATACATGTACTTGAACATGTGGACATGCATCTTACCTAGGGTAATAGGTTAGTCATGTTTGCTTCAGTGTACATGTACATGTATGCCCTTGGGTCACAGGTCTGATCTGATTGGCATTGGGAGCATGTTATAAATATGCGTAAATATGTATTTGATTTTTGTACAAATTCTTTGTACTGGGAAGAGGAATGAATTAAGCCACCATCAATGTTATACTCCTATGTACAATAGACATTGTGCATACATGTATATGAGAGAAGAAGTGCTGTCTAAACACATTGGGTTCTCCTGTAATTTTACATTTACCGATTTAGTAAACAGTAATTTATCACTGCTATTCTATTCACTTGTTTCATGTTCTGAGTTTAATACCTTGAGGTGAAAGGTCAAAGAGTTTAATTGTTTTGCAAGAAATCATAGACCCTTGGACGACCTCAGCGTGTGAACAATGAACAAATCGTGCATGGATACTAGATGCAGCAGTTATTGACTCAAAGTGTCTTCCCCTCCTTCCTACAAGTATTTGTTTTCAATGGGGGGTTGTTTAGGATCGGCATTCACCGGTACATAATATTTTTTCCTCAAATTTTCAGAAGTAACCGTGCAGAAAATTTGCTTTTTAAAATCAAAATTTTGAGTGTGCTTCATGTAAGTGAACCCAAGTTTCAAACAATAATCTAATTTATTGAAATTTTATGACAAGAACTAATAGCTTCTGTATCCTTCTAAAAAAAATGTATAAATAATGATATACAGTGCAAACCAAGAGCCTGCTATTCTTCAATAGTTTGTACACTGTTTGACTTTAATGATCAATAACCCAGACCTACATCTAGTGAGTTATGAGCCACATGTAATTATGGTTGAAATGGCATTGCATGAATGTAGATTATGAAGCATTGATCATATACATCATGGGAACTTGTCATTCCCGAGCAGGAATCCCATTCGCGTTCTCAACCTACTAGTGAAGGCATCCCTCTACTTGCAGAATGTGTCACGGCCAAAAGGAATGATTTATTCATTGTGTGCAGTGAATACAAATTGCACGTCATCAGGCTTATAATGGAAAATTCTGGCTCAGATTCAAGTATCAATAGGAATTCACTTTCCCGGAAACTTCAAAAGTTATGTTTTAGAGAATTGAATAAACATGCCCATGAGAGCATGTGTTACTTTAAAAGAGTGTGCATGCATCTGAGAATCCCTGATTGTCGACATTTTTCTTTTGTGGGAGCTCACTTTCTCATGAATGTGATAAAAAAATCTACTTGTGGTAGGTTTTATAGAATGCCTTGTCAGCATCCATAAAAACATGTACTTACCTGTCAAAGTACTTGTAAGTGTATGAAGTTATTAGTTCTGATGCAGATCATGAATCACAGTCTTACAGGAACTTCATGTACTATTTAACCATAAACCCCTCGACTGTCTGAAAATTACTGACAACATTCAGGAACTCTGTCCTTACTTGGTCAACTTCCCCTTGTTTTCAGAAAATCTCAACAGAGCTTTGCACCTGTTGCTGGGAGTCCTTTTTAATTACCAGCTTGACATTGATGTGTGGGGAATAAACATGATAACATATCCATCTAGTTATGGCTCTGGCCATGAAAAGGTCTGTCTGTCAAGCAAGAATGCCAACTATGAGTACAAATGGGGAATTACATGTTTTTACCAACTTCGAATTACTAACAACTTGTACAACCTTCAGAGTAAAGTGCCCAGAATGATTTAAGAATCTGTATCTGGCTTATAACATTTGTTATGGAACCCAAAGTTAATGCTTCTCAGGGTCAGGTGTATTACTAAGTTCTGAGAAATGATGTTTCTGCAGCATGGCATGCTAGCTATTGTTTTCATCATGGAAATGGACAAGTACACTATTCCCCCTCACCTGAGACATAATAGATTGGGCCGACACTTGAATACTATTGTCTGCGCAGCATATAAAGAATCATATATAAAGAATCTTTGGATTTCTGCATTATCAGATGGAAGTTTTTTGTGCATTCTGCATGCTACCATTATATTCAACTAATGGCGCTGAGGGACATAACTGCTAGATGTATATAAAAAAAATTTCCTCCTTTTACTTGGAGACCTACTGGAGTAGCTTCAAAGTAGCACCGTTGAATTCCTACAAAAACAGGGACTTTGGAAAAAGTTATTGCATCTGTCCCTCCCTAAAATAATAAAAAACCAACAGAATCCAATCAGATAGAAACAGAGCAAGCCCTAGTTTCAGAGAAGAATTATAGCAAAGCAACACCTGCAGAAACAGGTGGCTGTAGAGATAGTGGACACTTCCCCACTCTGGGGTCTGACCGTGATCAATCATTCATTACTGTTTGTTTTCTAACATCCTAAATCATCCCCAAAGGCTTGGGGTAAATTGGCAGGAGGACTTATTAAAAGAGGCGATTGTCATTTGATCCAGATTAAGTCCCCCGCTGGGGTTGTGCCCCCATGATGGGCCTATCCTAAATCATATTTATATTAGGCTTCTTATTTCTCCATGGATAAAGTATAGAATACCTGGCAAGAGTTCATCAAAGTTAAAAGCAGCTGAGTTGTTCCCTCTGTGTGGTACAGAGTCTGTACCTTTGTGATCCTTCTTAACTATGCTTATCTTTATAGGGCCTCCTTTTGAGGTCAATGGGGAAAATCTGTGTGACCGGTATTGCAGACTCCATTTAATTTTCCTCTCAAAACCACACTCTAGAAATGCCTTCTCTCACAGATGATTTTTAAGCCACCATTGCAACCCTTTCACAGCGTTAGTCCTGTTGTGTGAGGGTTGTACCTTAAGAAATGCTGCTCTGTGTTATGTATTAAACTACAAGTTGCAAATTGTTTACACACCTTTTTAGGAAAAGGTAAAGTTAACAACAGGTCAAATTATTGTATTCATGCTACATCAGCAGTTACATTGAGTCATTGTGTGCCTTTCGGTGTTCCTCAACTTCTGTGTTTATAATTTATTCTGTTATATCAAGTTCCAGAACTTATGCCAGATTAATTTCACATATACTTTTGTCCCGATAAGCTTGATGCAGATTGTCAAATTGTTTGGCCATATCATTCATAATCATTCATAATCTTTTAATTTCATATTTTCATGAAATACTTCCAAATTTGGGCAGTGCCTTTTGAATTCATAATTTTAAGACCATATTTTTAATCTCTTGGCATGTGCTGTTAATAATATGAAACAGTTGAGTGTATCTAGATCTTAAAAATTGTACTTGAAATCTGGGCCTCCCAGAAACAACAAACTTCTCTGAAAATAATCTGGTGTCTTTTCTCTAAAGTGCAGGTTACATTCTAATTAGAAAAGCATTGTCAACACCTCATGATTTAAGTGTCTGACCCATAACTGTCTGCCAACAAATCTCTTTGCGGTTCTTCTCCTTGGGTGCATGAATCTCAGGTTGAATAGGGTTGAGTTGCATCCATTTCAACATGACCAAATAAACGGTTGGCCAAGATTGATTTAGAAGCAGGCCCACCTTGGGTAGGTAGGGTACATAAATGTTTGTCTTGCCCTAGCAAATGGTTCTTTGTAAATGCCCACAACCTCTTGCGGTAATTGGGTTCATTGAAACATCCTGTCTATCCCTGCATTCTGTCAACAAAAAGTCTGCTTTTAAAGAGAAGATTTCAGTTAGAAAAGTCACAGATGACAAGCTTTTGAGATCACTTTGAATTGTTGATATTTATGGCACAGCTTCCACAAATAGCACCATCAACTTCTCAGTACTTAGGCTGTAATGGTTCCAAAAGTTGAGAAGGTAAACTTTTGGGATGGTCGACCTCCAACTGCAGGTTTGTAGTCGCCTGCTTTTAAAGCAGGAGCTAGAGGATTCAAAACAAGTTTCCAATTTGTGTTTTAAAGTCAAGCTTTCGCAGAACTTTTTAAGAAAGTAGCTTTTTTGTGTGCTGGTTTAGAACACTTGTTCTAAAGAAGTGATTTAATACTTCCTATCGTCCTGGATTCTCAAACTAGGTTTACAGAGTAGATAATGCTGTTAACAAAGGCATAATGGAGCACTATTTTAATCTGTAAGAAACTCAAAAAAGCTTTTAAATTTCTAAATTTGATATTTGTGTAACTTGAAAGACCTTAGTAATTAAAACACCTGCCATATGTCTGTTTTGGATTGCTTTGGAAAATTTCGGACATGTTTTTGAAACCTCAAACAAGAATCATATTTGTAATATCCATTTGATAGCCAGGAACATGTTTAAGGTGGTGCCAAAAGATGCAGAGCCAGAACTGGTTGTGGTATCCTAAAGAGACATAGTACATGTACAAGTTAGCAGATAGTATAGTTGGCCAATGTCATTTTCACTCAATATTTGGTAATTTTCTTATCACTGCTGCTCTGGAAAAGAACCCATTCTAGTTTGCTGCCTGTAGAAACAAATTTACATGTACATACATGTGTAATTCAATTTTTTTGGAGACAACAAAACATTGTCTGCATATTTTCCAGCCAACTCCAACTTTCATTTCTCATTTGATTATAACAATAGTATCAAACCACAGTTCTTCAAACCCAAACAGTGACTAAAGCAAAAACCTGTCTGCTCATGATAACATACCCCTGCATATGTACATGTAAGTTGACCACCCCTACACCATATTTTTTGGATGATCATTTGAAATTCCTGCCTTGATCTAACCAGCCTTTAAGTGTGGCTTCTTTTTAAGTAGTTTATTCCTCTCTTTGAAGCAACAGTCCAATGACCTACTTATTATGTTTTGGCCCCCTCCCCCTCACCTTCCAGGTCAGGAATACAACTTCAACAAGCTGCTACCTGAGGAAGTTGATTCCCTTGGCCAACCGTATGACTTTGCCAGCATCATGCATTACGCCCGGAACACGTTCTCCCGTGGCATCTGGCTGGACACCGTCATCCCCCGTAGAGCATCCGACGGTATGCAGCGACCAGAGATAGAGATTGGTCAGCGAAAGCAGCTGAGCGAGGGCGATATCACCCAGGCTAATTTGCTGTACAAATGCCCTTGTATGTATCAAATGTCACGTCTAGGGATTCTTTATACTAATCTAGCTTATGCCAAGGCCGAGCAAGATAACTAAAATTTCAGAAAGTAGTTTGCTTTAATAATTAGAAAAGCTGTGAGGAACCTTGCTATACAACTGATTCCTCACATTCATGTCCAAGTCATGTTAAGAAGATCTTGAAAAGATTTGGATTTTCAGATACCGTAAAGCACATATCTGGGGTCAAAGTAAACATCTCAATTGCTTCACTAACCATTGCTATTTTCGGCCTGTCGAGCTGAGAATTTATCAGTTCTGAGGTTTTTTCAAGGGGGGGAGGGAACTGGGAAATTGGGTCAAGTACCAAGATATTGTTTGCATTGTTGGTGATTTCGAGTAGCCCTGGAACAAACTTTTCAAATTACTCAAACGGTTTTGTGACCATTGTCAAAAACCTTTCAGTGGGATTGAAGGAACAGTTCAGTTGCAAAGGTTCATCACAATGGACATGTGTTATTTGATTATTAGAGAGAATAGAGATCAGAGACATCACCCCCTTCTCGCCATGATAGTATTTGTCTTAATCTCCTGTGCCATTTGGGGCTTACCTAAACAGGGTACATGTACATTAAAACAGGTAATTTAAAAAAGGGCGTTCATTTTTTTAAGATATGAGCTTTAAAATTGTCAGTGAGATTGGATCTCTAAGGATACTTGTATGTACCTGTACCCTTGTAGTCAAGGATGACTCACTGCCATTTAGAATCGTACTTCATTGAAGCTAATGAGGTAATCCAGTGTTGAGATGAGCTGTCCAAAACGATAAATGCACCATCAATGTAGATTATGTATTGAAAGAGGGGTTTCTCATTAGGTTGTTGGAGTGCCATTTTTATACACCCTGGAAAAGTTGGTTTAATGTGTGGACATAGTGACCTTCAAATCTTTATTAAGACTTAACCCCTTCGCGTCGGGATGCGGCAAGACCCGCCGTAAAAATTGAGATCCTCAGCCCGCTTTTTAGCTATAATTCTCGCCCCACGCTTGAGTGAACACGGTGAAAGAAGGCATACCCTGGCTCTTGTATATATGGTAATTGGCCTTTGTGTGTAGCCCAGAAATGAAAAGACCGAATTTGCATAATAATCACCAGCTTCACAATAGTCCCCACTTTGAAAAGAGGCAACAGGAATGTGGAAGTGTGAGTAGAGCAAAATGCCACCAAACAATCAGCCTTTTCACCGTGTAATTCAAAGTGTGCAAAGCACGCTGGGCCACAAACCGAGAATTTGCGGTTTGGCAGGTGGCCTTCGTGGCCAAGCGAGGCTGGAATTCTTGGAGTTGGCTTTCGGAAAGAAATTCCCGTCGACAAGGGGTTAAACTGAAATTGAGCTACATGTAGGTGATTTCAGGAAAAAGGTGAAATACTTTACAGTCTCTTGTTAAGTTTGCTTGCACCATTTCTGTTATTTCGACAGTGGACACTTATAGAGTACGGAAGTGTGACATTATTATGAACCAGGAAGTGTAGTGTAAACGAATGGAGTACGGGCGTGTTGGTTCACGCAGTGGTTCTCACGTGAATGCCTCTTAAACACATAATTGTGATGTATTCACTTAGGTAGTTTATAGAAGTTTTGGTTTGTTACCTTTATTAGACATTACTGGGCATACACTCAAACATCTTGTATGGTGGCATTTTGCTCTCATCCTGTTCCTTTTCCTTCACTGCCACCTTTTTATGATTTTCAGAAAAAGTATGCGTTTTATATTTTCTGTTATTATTCATTCATATTATTTCTCAAAACATCCATGTAGCTGAACTTTACGTTAATGTTTCTTGACACACTTCCGCCTTCTCTAATCACTCTCTTGGTCTTTGAAACATCCACTGGAATGAAGAACAGAATGGAAAAAAGCTTAATCTCCAAACAAATTTTGTTTTGAAACATTGGGGAGGAAGCTCAACACAGCCTTTCTGTATATTCTTTTATCTTCAAGGCCTCTGTTACCAATATTTCACCTTCAAGGCCTCTGTTACCAATATTTCACCTTCCTGTTGACTTCCTCATTCTTCTCTTCCCCCCCGCCCAAAAAAAAGCTTGCGGCCGCACTCTTCAAGAAACAACAGGAAATTTCAGCTCTCCAGGCTGGCCAATGGCATTCAGCAACCAAGAAACCTGCGTCTGGCGGATCTCTGTGACTCCCGGGGAGACAATCGTGCTGATGTTTGATGACTTTGAGCTAGTTGGCAGCGATGACTGCTGGTATCATCATGTGGAAGTAAGGGATGGCCACTGGAGGTTTTCCAACCTTTTAGGTAGGAATTCTTTCTTTTCTCAAAGAGGTATTAAAAAACCTTGGCTTGCCGTTATGCAATACAGATGTAAGCACAGCTTGTATAGGGTGTTTCATCTATTGTTTCATCCTTCACGTATTATTGAGTGATTTGTTGCAACTTTGTCATACAAAAATAGCCTGGTCTTATTTAGTGGGTGGTTTTGGACAGGCCTTCAAAAATCCAGACTTAAGTTTTGTGTTTCCCATGTCTCTGTACGATAACACATTCACATTGAGTTGTGCCTGGACTATGGAGTTAGGAAGGTTTGTCAGCACAGCAAAGGATAGATTTCCAACCTTTGCTGATAAGTTTGCTCAGACGAATCCAGCGATCTTCATGAGGAGAGGCGAAACTGGGTTTGGATTAGCAATACTAACTGGTTTATTGGTGGCTGCAGTGTGAGGTTGAAATAAATGCGACCACACACAAGGAGGCGGCAAGTTGGCATCACCCAAATCGAGTGACAATAATTAAGGAAAACAAAGAACGGGGAAAACCCAATGAATATATGTACATGAATACAACATACAGAACTCTTTAATTAAGATTACCGTGTATAAATAATACACATTCTTACCTGGGAATGAGTGCACTGCTCCACAAGTCTACAACATCTGTCACTTGCATAGAATTAAAGATAAATTTTTAAATGCTGAAGTCTAGGCCAACATGTCATGTACTAAGAGAGGCCTGTAATACTGAACCACTCACTGAGAGTCAGAAAGCTGGGTAAAGTCTAATCTCAGTACGTCAAATAAACTTACATTCCTTCAACAAGGTACATGTAGCACACTCTTATAAAAGCCATACACTAAATTGTAAGTCAAATGCACGTGTTAACCAAATCTATTTCACCAGAAATCAGATTTGAAAACAAATCTTTCCATCTTCCTCTGCGCAAAACCTGATGTAACCATAATTACAGGCTTCACTAAATCCAGAGGGCGCAATTGAAATGTAATAAGCTGAGCCTACAAATGCCTATAGAAAGATTGTACACTTTGCCTGAAATATCGACATATACTCAGTTGATCACAGTCCTTAAACCATACAAAATACTGAGTTTCTGGCAAACCCTCACATCAAAATAGATTGCACATGCAGCAGAGGCAATGATAGAAAGTGTGAGAGTTCAAGGAAATGTAACGGTACCGGTAGACTGGGACTGCATGGCTGTTATGATCGTTAAGGACGGCGCCTTGTTGCAAATCCACCGCATTTACTCCGCTAAAGTAACACTTTATAAGAGAGTTAATTTCTAAATCATGTCATTGAGGAAGCTTTAAAGACTGTCCGGTTTATGTACACCGGTATAATTGGTTTGAATAATAGGAGGAAAAGGAAGAAATTTACCTGCAGATGTGAGGTCGAAATAAATGGGACTATGCACAAGGAGGCAAAAAGTTGATATAACCAACCTCCGGTGAACTTCAACCTCCACAAGGACTAACCCCGCTCTTAAACCCAATTCACACAAATGCATGCACATTTCGAACAAATGAAATAGTATGTGTACGTTGGTTGCCATGCATAAACAGCCATGGGAGTATAGCACTGTTTATAACACCTCATCCACACATTCTGCCTCTTGATTGGCTGAGAGCCAGTCACATGGCACAAACAAAGGAACTACACCTGTAGCAACCAAAGAACTGTATGTATGATAACCACCAGCATTATGTCCAAATGCAGTGGTTTGTCTATGGCACATTCTGAAGTACATGTGCTACAGAACTAGGTTACAATATTATGTGAAGAGGTAGTTTGCACTGGACCAATCGAGAGGCATCTGTGTGTGAGGTGTTAAAATAGATTCAGGCTCCCTCTTCTTGAACCTTGTGGAGGGTCATTTATAACGCAGATTTGAATCGATGAGATTTAATGTACATGTACCATTGCACCAGCCTGGCCAAGTTAATAGGAAAGACAACACTTAAACCAGCCATATTACCCCTGGTAGTGATACTTTTTTCTTTGAACTTGACAAGTTTGGATAATTTGTAATCCTCCTTTCCTCCCCACAGGAAGATTTTGTGGCAGTGACATCCCTCCAGTGATCGTCTCAACAGACAGCCGGCTGTGGATTGAGCTAAAGAGCTCTCCATCTGGTAGTGCAATTAGTCGCGGATTCACGGCTCACTATGAAGGTACAGGAGCAACGGACGAAGCAAGAGGGATTAGGGCTGTGGGAGTCACTCCTCTTGAAGGACTAGTGGTAGTGAATAGTGATGTGAATGAAACTTTTTCCCTTCAACTGAAATAGCAGATGCTTCAGTCATAATCACAGCAATGAAACAAAAATGTGTTGAAAATGGACACTGAATGCATTAATTGAAATATTTGAACAGTTAGCAGAGGCAAGTGCTCTGGAAATGAATTCCTATCTCCAAAAGATTTTCGTTATTAGTTTGACATTTTCGAAGTATGTCTTTCTCAAATATTCAGATGTGTACCTATAGGCCTAGTCAAAGTCTGATCATCTCTTCATATGTTTCAGGCTTAATTCTTACTCTGTCATTGTATCAAATTCATGCAAGTGAGCAATAGAGACAAAAACAGTGGGTCGGGAGGGCCAATCCCCCCTCCCATTTTTTTGGTTTGGGGACTTGCTCCCCCCCCCCACTCTTTTGTAGTCCTGTAATGGGGCAGGGCTTAATGGATCAGTCTGTTAATGGCTGATGCTCATGGTCTTGCTACTGTCCTCCACTTTGTGAATCGTTATGCCATTACTGCAAATGAGAGTGGGTACCAGGGGTAGCAGAGTAGCACAGTTAGGCTGACACACTGTGTGCACCTTTTGTCCATATATGAATAGCATGAATTAAGTTAAAGCAATTTTCTGTGAAATGTACACAATAGTATGGTCTTCCTAAGGATGGTTGTAGGCACACCGTGCCAGTTGTGTACATGTGTCTACCACCAGCCTCCCCTCTTTTTCACTGATACTTTGGCCAAGTTCCATCAGTGACCAATGATTGACTGATGGCTGCCAATAAAACTTGGCCTCGCTTGGTTCAAAGAGGGTTAGACTACAGCACTGGGCTTCAGCAGTGCTTATTTGATCATGTTAAAAGACAGGAGATGCAAGAATAACACAAAGCATGTCAGCTTGGTACAGGTTGCTAGGTTCGTTTAAGGTGTGATGAAAGTTAGTTCCCTATGGCTAGGAACATTGATAAGGACTTATCCTGGGTGTCTGCCTTTACAGAAGTCTTGCTGTACTGCCAGTCTGTTTTTACAGTTCTCAGGATTAAACTGGAAGGTTCTCAAATTTGAAACACAGTCATTTGGGGAAACTAAGGTACAGACAAGTGCTTATGTTTTCTTACAAACTGAATATTACTGCTACCTTAACAATTTCTTGCTGATGTTCTGTTGCTTCACCCTCTCCCCATGAAGAGCCTTTGCTGTACCCCTGGTCCAAAGTCTCTCCCCCCCAACATTCTAGGTTATTGACGGTTGACAATACTGTGCCTTTTTTTGCCTGGCAGCGGTTTGTGGAGGCAATATCTCCAAGGAGTCAGGGATGCTACAGAGTCCCAACTACCCTGATGACTACCGGCCGGACAAGTCCTGTGTGTGGCTCCTGACTATGCCCGAGGGCTATCAAGTGGGGCTCAACTTTCAGTCATTTGAGGTAGGCAAGTCCAGCAGCTGGTTTTACAAAACTTTGCCTAACTTTGTATCTTATAACGGAAACCTTACACCACAGTGTTTTCAATTAATTTAACATCTTGGACAAGCATGATTACAGCTTTTACAATTATTGTTCTTCGGTATTACAGTAGTCATCAGTTTTCAGTTAACTGCACCTGCCATTCTGAAAAACATTTTATGTGGTTTTTTTTACAGAATCAGGCAGAAAATCTTTATGTTCTGGCACATCCAAATAAGATTTAATTACCTCAAAAACAGAGTTTTACATTTCTCATATAAACCTTGTTGAATTGAGTAATGATGAACATCGCCTGAACATTATTAATTAGGGAAACTGTCCTTTCCCAATTTGTTGAATGTGAGTTACATCACTTCAAATGACTGCATAAGTTACACTGTACATGTACTTTTTTGACAAGCTCCATACTAACGCAGTGCCTAACTTTCATGAAATTGGTTCTTATTTGTTGTGTGGCTTATGCAACAAAATGTAGCGTAAGTGAAGTTATGCCATGACATAAAAGTTTCATGAAATCTGCTGATCCCTGAAAGATAAACAATACACAGAAAGTAAATTAGACTGACTGGCAGAAGAGGGCGGTACAGAATTCCAGTAACTCTGATGACTTCTGACCGCACAAGTCATGCAGTTCTAATAACTTGTTTAGATTTGAGGTGACACTGCTCTGCTGTGTAGCTGTTCTGTCGATGTGTGTGGTTTTAAAAAGGATTGTTGGTAACATTTCAGGCATTTTATTTATTACCCTGCCTGTTGTCAGAGCTCTGTAGTTTATCGAGAGTGTTAAAACAGGCATTATTTACAACCCCATTTTGAGGGTTTTTCAGGTGTTGCAAAAATTTCCATATCCGTTATAAATATTCTGAGCTGTGAATACTCCAGGGAACAGTGTTAAGAATGTTCAAGGCTAGACAGGTGGGGCAATGCAGGGGCTGGTGATTAAGCACGGATGCAAGACTCCAGTCATAATGATCTCGTGTTCAACCCACTCTGTTTTTAAACCCACATAGCAGGTGTAACCGGCTAATATTTTAAGCTATTCTCCCTTATTGGCCAATAGGTGGAGAGGCATGACAATTGTATCTATGACTACGTGGAGATACGCGATGGCCACCAAGATGACTCACCATTAATTGGCAAATTCTGCGGCTACTTGATGCCAGAGGACATCAAGTCTTCCAGTAACAAGCTGCGTGTCAAGTTTAAGTCAGACGGGACTGTCAACAAAGGGGGATTTTCAGCTGATTTTTTCAAAGGTTAATTCTTTTCGTTGCTGATTGCAATGTGAAACCTATCCTTGGTTTGCTATTGGAATTGGTAGAATGTAACAAGACTTTATGCTGTACACACAAAACTAATATTCACAGCCAAGACTTATTGGGTAAGCCCCGAAATTAGGGTTCTATTTTTCATTTTATTGTCCCGGCCACATCTGACATTTGATTTTGTAAGTTCAGAATACATTTTCTAATTTCCAAGAATAATGAATTAATGCGAATTACCTGCCAAAGAAATAGTAATAGTTTGAAACCAATTCCAGTGATATTTCAATGTCAAATAACAAAGGTCAAATGTAACAGGGCCACAAAAAAGTCACACTCTTAAACCCCTAATTTCTAGAATTACCCTATTGCATTTGGCCAAGTTGCTCAACTTGATAGCGATATTTATTTCTGCATCAAACTTTAATGAATTGGGCAGGATCACAGGCACTGGATAAATTTTGGAGAGTACTGGATGTGACTCTGGATACCTTTGGAGATTAACATCAATTTGTTTTGCTGTGTCATTTCTCTTGTTGAAGACAATGGAAACTTGGCTTGTAATTTGCATTCAGACCAAAGCTATTCAAATGAAGCCACTAAAGATTGAAGGGCACAAAATATGTTTGAAAGAAAATGCTTATCTTGTATTTGATATATCGCAAATAAGGATTGACTTTGGGAATAGCACTTATCTTGCTTACGTTGTGATGCTTCTTTAACTGATGTGCCCATGGGCTGTGTTTATTAAACTCCAAGCAATTTGTTTCTCTGTAAACCTTCCCCATTTTTCATTTTATTCAGTGGTAAAACCCCTCTAATACTAGCTGGATGTACAAACTAGATCTGCATGTACTTAGGAAGCTGATTCACCTCCACAATCTTGTGTAGGAGGATACACAAATTGGTATTACGTGATGCAAAATAAACGGGCACATTCATTACATATTAAAACAAATTACAGTGTGTCTTCAAGCATGATTGATGATTCCGTAGAGAGGAACATGAATTTACCATAGTGTAAATGTATACGAATTGATTCTATTTTAACCTTCAAAAGACGATACTCTGCCAAAACTATTACTTTGCCATCTGTGGGTATTTCTGGTTAAACTTTATAAAATGCCGTAGTTTAGGTTCAAGCAACCTGAGGACTCTTCACTTCATACACGGACACACACCTGTGTAAACACGTCTTCATTGCCCTCGTGTTAATCATTCATTCTTGTTAGCAGTGTGGTGACATTTTTCTTTCATGTTCCTCCCCCCCCCCATCTTGACAAAAAAAATTCACACCTTTCTTTTTTTGTGTTTTACCTTGCAGAGGATGATGAGTGTTCAAAAAACAATGGTGGTTGTGAGCAAATCTGTGTTAATACCATCGGCAGTTACCGCTGTGAATGTGATCCTGGATTTGAGCTCAAGGCAGATGGCAAGTCTTGCGAAGGTGAGAATTAAATACTTCCCAGCAGAGTTTGGTAGCTTGCTTGATGACTCATTGGCTGGTTGGCTACCCATCCCAGGTTGACATTTGGCTGGCTTGTTGGTTGGCTTGCTGATTGGCTGGCTGCCTTTATGGTTAGTTGGTTGGCTGCTTGGCTGCCTAGCTCCCTGACTGGTTGGATACTTGGCTGGAATTAGCTTGCTGGTTTGCTGGCTGGAAGAGATAAGGCTTTTTCACACTACATCCTGTCATCCCAGATTGAACTCAACCTTGGGCAAAGCCACAACCACCCTGGATGAAAATTAGATTTGATCCAGTGTGATTTTTCAACCCCGCATTCAACCTGGCATGGTTTCACGCTTGTTTCATAAAAACTAAGCTCACTAGGGCGAGTTCAACTTAAAGATGAGCACAAACGATTTCAACCAAAGTTGAAAAATCTCAACCCTTGTCCGGAGGAAGGTTGAGTTCAACCGGGGTTGAAGTCAATCTCAGAGGCAACAATGAGTGGGCACAGGGTTGAACATTTTCCGGTGTGAATTGTCGCCAGTTTTCAACCCTGCAACAGCCCTGTGTCAAGCCCAAGATTTGTCTAGTGTGAAAAGGCCTTAACTCCAATCTGACCTAGTTTAACCTTTGTTGACTCAATTTTCACTTTCTTTCCAGCAAATGTTTAAAAAGGCATTATTCAAACTTCAGCTTATGCATATTTATCCGGTGTTCCTAACGCCTTTGCAAATAAAGTAAACTATTATCATCCTTTACTTTAGTTTTAACGTATAATCTATTATATTTGAACAGTTTTTGTATTCAAATTTAACCCTATTTTATGGATCAAGTTTAGTGAGCATAGTTTTGTCGTATTTTTTTTGGTTGATTTTGTTTTTTATATATAAACAGGACCCTTAGGAATTGCATGTCTTTTCAAAACTGATGAGGCTACCCTGTATAAATAAAACAGATAATAATAATAATAACTCCATACTCGAATTTTAATCACCAATATCCTTTGATATTGATATATTTAACAGTTGCCTGTGGTGGTTTCTTGACCAGTCTTCAAGGTAACATCACCAGTCCCTCCTTCCCTGACCTTTACCCTCGAGATAAGAACTGTGTCTGGCATCTGGTGGCTCCATCATTGTATCGTATCTCACTTCAATTCCTCAGCTTTGAGTTAGAAGGCAATGATGTAAGTACCAACAATGACAATCATATGAGTAAGTTCTGTATTTTAAGGACACAGTGTGATGAATTGTATGGGTTTTTTTTCAAGGATTTGTCATAATGACCTAGGCAAAGCTTGAGATAGTAGATAGACAGACAAGTCGTTTTCATCTTTGAAGGTTTGCAAATATGACTACGTGGAGGTCCGCAGCGGCCTGACAGAGGTTGGGGATCTTCATGGCAAGTTTTGTGGGGACGAGATCCCGGACACCATCACATCTCGCTACAACAACATGAGAATAGAGTTCAAGTCGGACAGCACCGTCTCCAGACCTGGGTTCTTTGCCAGGTTCTTTGCAGGTCAGTGGGGATGATGTGATCTTTGGTGTAAGCTGCGCCCTCTGTGGGCTGCATTAAATAGGTGATGCGAACACATGCTTGTTCACTTCCAATACTGACTTGAACCTTCTATTTTACTGTGTCACCGAGCCTCCCCCCCCACCCAGGAGCAAAATTTTGTTTGATTTTTGAAAAGTAATGTAGAAAGCCCTTGGTTTTGCGTCACCCCTCAGAAAGGCCATAAAAAAGGTTGTACCAACAAGTTTTCATTTTTGGTTGACCCCTACAACAATGTTGCCTCACCCTGTCAAATGTGGTTCCAGGTCCACCCTTGTACTATGCGCTTTTATGGACTTGTCAGCTTGAGCAATTGAAAAGCCCACTACCATATGCAATGCACAGCTTACCCGGCTGGTCCAGTTGGTCACTTCTGTTTAAGGAGCTTTAAAAACTGTCAGTGAGTGGGAAGGAATCTGAAACAAGTCCCAAACTCCGTGCAGAGCAAATGCTGCAGTGATATATTTGAATTTTTGACCCACCTGTCAAGCCCCAAAAGATAACTTTGAACAACTGTGGCCATGTGCAAAACGGGCATCCAGAGCTTTGGCTAGTATTGTCTCTGTGTATTTCCAATGAAGTGAAGACCTAGACCTAGCTCTAGACAAAAGATTTGGATGCAGCCTTTCTTTCTTTTGGGCAGGTGCTCAACTGACTATTTCATGTTGGATTTTTTTTTCCTGGGACAGATATCGATGAGTGCGAGAAGAATAACGGTGACTGCCAGCACGTGTGTGTCAACACACTGGGAAGCTACACATGCTCTTGTAGGAATGGATTCACACTGCATGAAAATGGCCAGGACTGTAAAGAATGTAAGCAGCGGTGTGTAATGAGTGCATCCACCTGTTGTGAAACAGCCAATCATGACAGAAGAGATTTGGGGTAGCTATGGAAGTACCCATGCCCCTACATAGTCATTTATGGGCTGTCACATGTAGCAACATAGTACTCACTTCATTATAGTCAAAAAGTACAGACAAAATTACTTTTCCCCCTTTTTTGATGTACATAAATATATGTAATCTTAGCCATTTTTCTAGCAGCACAGTAGTCAAGACAAATAAGCATCATCTCACTGTAGCTGAGAAAAAGGGGTTATCACATGTCCAAATAATTAGCACAATAATTTATGAGTGCAGAAGCAAGCTTACTCACCAACAACAAAACAGATCCTGTTTAAAATAACCCATTTGTTGTCAAGGTTTGTGGATCTGTCATAATAGGATATTATGAAATAAAAGCAGAAATTGACAGGAGGGATGTTCATTTTGATCATAATGTCCTTGCTTACTAAAGATCCAAATAAATTCCAGTTACCTTCTCTCTCTATTCCATTTGGTAATTATGGACTCGTTCTGTATTGAAAGTACTGTTGTAGCATTAAGACTGCAAGTTTAGCTGCAGATAGATTGTTTTGAATTTTTTTAACAGCTGGATGTCGTCACGATATTAGAGCCAGTCATGGCGAGATAACAAGTCCTAACTACCCGGACAACTACCCTAAGCGCAAGGAGTGTACATGGCAAATTGTGGCCACGCCAGGACATAAAGTGGAGCTGGTGAGTTTTTTTGAGATGTGTTCCCAAAAATGATCCAAGGGTCAAATCCCACGCTGAATTGCCTGAAAGACATGATGAAAGCCACATGAATACACCGTTTGCTTTGTACTGATTTTCAACACAGTTTGCTGATTTATTTCCTTTGAATGACTTCAAGAAAAGTGCATCTTATAAACTCTTTTTTTGTATAAACAAGAGATTGAGATATTTAACCCAGGTGAGATACATTTCCCATTTGCTGTACCATTGTTTGTGTAAGTCAAGACAGAAAGGTGAAAAGGTTTTATTAGATTGACTCACTCTCAACCACCCCTCCTCATAACCACACAAGAGTCACAGGTACTTCAAAAGTTGGGGTAAACATTTGGATCAAGAAGAAGTTTTGAAATGTACAACTGACCATGCAGTTGCCTTCAAATTGAAACAGAGGTGCATTGTGTTGATTTGTCTTAGCTAATATGTCTTCAACACTCTGCAGAGTCGAGGGGTAAGGTGTTATAGAATAGAAAGGATTTCTCTAACTTGTGATACAGTAAAATGAGATTTCCCTCTTAATTTTTTTAGCATTCCATTTTCCAGGGCAAAGTCAAGGGAAATGAAATGCTCAATGAATTACTTCTAGAGACTAATCATACCACTTTTAGACTAGTTAATATTGATGTAAATGTCTCTTTCTCTAACCGTTTGCAGATATTCAATGATTTTGATCTTGAACATCATCTTGAGTGTGCCTATGATCATGTAGTCATCTATGATGGAGACTCGTCGGAAGGTCATCTATTAGGCCGATTCTGTGGGACAAGAATCCCTGATCCAGTTCTAGCCAGTGCCAATCAAATGTTCATACGATTCTTCTCAGACGCGTCTGTTTCCAGGCGAGGATTCTTCGCTTCGTATTCTACAAGTCAGTATTCTTACAAATTTTTGTCCCCCCAAAAAATGTGACTGCCATCTGCAAGCCAAAAGAATGTTTTTCTGAAGTCATGAGAAGAGCTGTCAAGATGTATGCATCTGTTGGATACAAGTGCATCAGGCCTGTACACTCTGAAGTGTACTTTGGATCAGTTTGACTCCAGTAGGAAAAAAAAAGCAAAGCTTGGTCACAACAAGGTTGCATTCTACAGCCTGGTTTGGAAGGTTTTGTCACGCTTACATGCCATCTTTGAAAAACAGGATGAAACAGCATGGCAGATTAAACTAACAGAAATAGCAATGTAAAAACTGTCAACTTTAAAAGAAATGTTTGCAGGCTGATATGGTGCATTGCCAAGGGGTCTTTATATGCCAGAGTTAGTCCACTCGCAGTTTTTCTCCATCAAGTTGGCATTTACACCAATTATTCTTCTGGTTACATGTATGACCTGAATGATGTCCAATTTGTTTCCTCAGTTTGTGGTGGTGTTCTTCAAGCTGACTATGTCCCCCAGAAACTCTACTCTCATGCCGATTATGGCGATACTAACTATGGAAGCCAGGTTTGTCATGTTTTTGTTCCATTGTTCGCTGGCTAAAAGTCAGTTGCCAAGGGTGTTTCAGTCTGGCAGGCAATTTTGAACCTCAGATATGATCTCATATTTTAATAGTAATTGTTTAATATTCTAGCTTGCCTTGACAGCATTTCTTTCTCAACACAGTAACTTTTAAAAGTCACATAATGTACAAAGACTGGCTTGTTCTGATTGGAAGTCAGTAGATTTGCTGTGATGGTTTGCTTCAGCAAACACTGAGGAAGCCCATTTGCAGTGATGAAACTTACCCAGATTTATCCAGAAATCCGGATATCGGCACGGCAGCAGAAATATGTTTCCCGGATTTTCATTAATTTTCTGTCCCTGGTGAAATTACACGTCATAGCTAGCGTAAATCTCGTGCCGTGTCACGTAAAAATTGCGAGCAGAACGAGCTGAAGTGAGTAGTCTCTAGAACAGATCCATCTATAGACATCACCCATGGATACGACTTAATGTGCGCATATGAAAAAGGCCCTCTTCCATTTTGGGTAGAATAGCGCCTTGAACAAAGACTAGAAGCTGGATCTCTCATGTGCATGCGCGTTGCTACTCGTCTGACATGTTCTGTTTTGAGCCGCATGTCATGTCAAGCTGTCAAGCAAAATAATCTGCTTTTCATCCAACAATCGGCAACATGTACAAAGTGGTAGATTGGTCACACAATGTAAAAGACATCAACAAAAATATCAGAAATGTCTTTAGTTTGAAATGGTTGGAGGAGAAGGATTGCAACGAAGATGTTTTGTCGGAGTCCGGAAAATAGACCACCCGGGATGTGCAATTTGTTCGTGGTGCAATGACGGACTCAAGTACAGCTCTTTCGGTAAGAAGGACTTGAAAAACCATGCCAAGTTAAAGAAACATGGCGAAATATGCAAGGTAAGGAACAACACACCTACCATTCCAGCCGTTTTTGCAACCAGCCGCGCCGTAGTTGACTGTGTAGATGACCCAACAGCTGCTGGTCATGTCCCAAGTAGGACCAATGACAGGCCCTTGCCTTCTGCTAGCCTTTAGTCACATTAATTAGGTTTCAAAGTGGCACAGTTTCCTTATGTTTGGTGTATTTTCTGACCCTGTCTACAGAGATGCTAACTTCTTCAATTTAGGCCTACAAATCTCACCTTAATCTCTTGCTGTAAACAGGAGAAAATGTCAGGAAAATGTGCCAGAAAATGCCTCAGATTGCACCACGGAGCATCTACAACCCCAAATTTCCCGGGGCCCTTAAGCAGGCCCCAGACCCCACGCCCTAGGGGCTTTGGGCTTCACGCTTCGTGCTCACATTATTACAACCACCATTATATTTCATGGTTTTTAGGATTTCAGGATATTTGGGAAATTTTGAGTTTCGTCACTGTAATTTGAGCAAAGCTTTCTTACATTACATTTTGTCTTCTGCCTGTACCTTTGATTTATGTATTTCATATGGGCATGGTAATCCAGTTGATCATAAGTCAGTCACAAGTTAGTCTCAAGTCACTCGCAAGTCAATCACTAATCCTAAGTCAATCACAAGTCTGCTACATGTCAATTACAAGCCAATCAGAAGTCAATCAGAAGCCAGTCACAATAAGTCCCAATCAGTTGCAAGTCAATCACAATTCAATCTCAAGTCAATGACAAGGCAATCACAATTTGGTCACAAGTCAGTTAGAAGCCAGTCACCAGTCAATCACAGTCAGTCACAAGTCAATCACTAATCAATCTCAAGTCATCACAAATCGGTCAAAAGTCAATCAGAAGCCCATCACAAGTCATTCTAAAGCTAGTCACAATGCAATCACAGTGAGCCACTAGTCACAAGTCAAACCATGTGTAAGGTCACATGAAACAAGGACAAATGCTGTTAAGGACAAGTGCTATTAAAGAAAGATGCTTCACATTGTCATAAGATGCTTGCTTGAGAACCAGTCACAACAGCCAATAAAGTATATACATTTTGTTTGAACTTTTTCCCGAGTCTATGCTTTCTCTCCATCTGAAGTTTCATCTCAAACTCCACACTCAGTTTTAGACATTTGCCGTTAGAATCAAATGCAGATGCATGGACTCCACACCTGGTTCACACAGGTGTTTTTGTCAGAGAAGATGGCACTGGCTGATGATGGAGGGTTCAACTAAGGGAACTAAATTTACAGAACTAAAGCCTGAAGTTGAAAATCATGATGGAGCTGTGAATTTAGGAGATCACCTGTATCAATGAGCACAAATGACCATACAGTGCCCTCAGTACATCTTGTATAAAGCCATGGTGCTTATTTGTCTCATTTATGACTTTTATAGGAGGATTGTGAGTGGACAATACTAGCTCCAGAAGGCTACTCTGTTAGGCTCATGTTCCGCTCATTTGATATTGAGCATGAGACAGAATGTGACTATGACTCACTGGAAGTATTGAATGGTGACTCCTATGATGCCGAGAGAGTAGGCCGCTTCTGTGGACACAAAGTAAGTCCCGACTTGTCTAACAAGATATGATGTAACTAATTATGTGGCTATTTTAGGGAGGGTTAGCTATGATTAAATCATATATTGTGATCTTTAAAGCCCATCATTGCTCTGTTACAAGAAGATTGGTACCATAAAAATCACTGTGTATTTCAGTTAGGGTAGTAAAATTTGTATTCATCCACCAGGTAGTTCAAAAAAAAAGGTTCCCAGTTCCAGTAAAATGTGATGAATGCGTTTTTAAAAACCTGATAGCAGTATTGATTTAGTGATTGTGTTGTGGTTGTCACAAAATCATAAATAGAAAGCATTGTCCAACCAGCAGATGTCCTCACAATTGCTTGAAAGGTTGTGCAGGTTAGCCATGTTTAGCGAAGTCAACTGTGCAGCAAAATAGATTGTATGCATTTTACACAAGGCATACATTTCTGCCAAATCAGCGTCCATTCTGTCTATTCATACCCGTTTCATTTCACAAGCGCTTGAGAAATCATCCTTTCTGTGGTCTTGCCCAACTAGATTCCCGATGACATCATATCCGAGGGGGAGACCCTTCGTCTCATCTTCAAGTCAGATGACACCATCAGCAAGAAAGGTTTCTATGCTGAATACCAAATCAGCTAAAATTTGGTCCAAGTTTTACAGTAACCAGGTCGGGCACAAGCTTTAGACGTGGTGGTGTCAAAGATTGTCTTTTTTTTCTTAATTTGTTTCAAATTAATCAAGTTTTTCCAAGCCAGTGCTTGTGGAATAATACGAAGTGAGATGGGCATTCAGCTATGATGTTAGATTCATGACTAATTCAATTCAAAGCCAACGTAGCTGGCAGTAAACAAATGAGACTTCAGTCTGAAAGAACAGGTCCATTTAAAGTACATGTGTGAATGTTGCTTTAAAGAGATACATTTTCCAATAGGTATTTGGATTTTTGGATGTACCATTTGTACTAAGGTTATGCACTCTGTTGTGCATTAAATACTTATGCATTCAATACATTTAACATTGTGAATTTATCATCATTTTAATATTTTTCAAGTGAACTACAAACAGTATTATCATATGCACAAGTGATGTCTCTCCACGGAAGGGGTGAATTGCTTGAAACAAGCATTTGGAAGGAAATGTCCCTGATGTAGTGAAACAGTCTATTCAGGGGAATAAGAATTGGAAGATGAATGAAGGATTCACAAGAATTCTGTAAATGATAGAATGTCGTTGAATTCATTAGTGGGGTGGTTTTTCCATAGAACTTTCAATATGTGGTTTGCCCTTGCATCAGATTTGCACAATTCATATTGTTCATTTCACCGTTGTAATCCAGTCATTTACAAATCAGCCGCAATATGAAAAATGTTTACAGAGAAACACTTTTTGTGTGGCATAACACTCTCCCTCAACATTTGAAAGTATCTTTTGATGTCAAGTGTGTTTAAAAGTGTTTGTAATTGAAAATTGTTTGTAAACATTAAAAATTTGCCATGCTTTTGTGGCCAACAGAGGGCACTGCTGTGATGTCGGTCCTGGAAGGCACTGCTTAATTTACAGGTTCTTCTGCTCCAATTGTGTATTCAAAATTTGTTCATTGAAAACAATTTTGAGATAGGGTTGCTTATTGGCTTTTTGATATGAACTTACAAATTGAAATTTAGAACAACAATATCAAACGGTGGAGCAGGTTTTGGTGCACAATTCACAGAAATTTGCATAGTATAAAAATCAAAGAGGCACAAACAAAAACTTTAAAAGGAGCACAAAACAGCTTGAAAGTTAAGAGAGTTTAAACACAAAGGGCATTGTATGGACCCTTTAAATCACAAATTAACACACAAGTCGGGTCACAAGTATCAGGATATCAGTAATATTACAGGTCTGGAAGGAATGCTTCTGTCATAATTCCTTTAAAAAGTTTTTGATTTTAGACAGAATGGTTGAATGATGACTGCATAAAATTATGTACAACTGTGATTCATGTTCTGTGCAGTCTGTTCAGAAAAAAAATTGCTGTGCTTTATGTAATAAATATCAAACAGAGTTAAAACTAGACTGCAAGGAAAAGAACTAGAAGTTGTGAGATTCAATTGATTGAGACTATTTTAAATAGTCAGTCGCTAAAATTTGATATAGATTTTACTCTTTTGAGCAAATTTCCTCCCCTTTCAGTGGTGTATGGGGGGTTGGCTGTTAGCATTGAAAGTATTGAACCATCTCCAGAGAACAGCAACATTGATAAAGTATGATCCAAGGGTTCTGAAAGGCAACGCAGATCAGTGTAACTCGGTCTTGAAAGATTCCTTAAAAATTGGGCATTTATTAGCACGTCCCAATACATGTTTACTCATGAAGTTATTACCATGCTTTCATCATGTGTATACTATTTCACTATTGGTAATACTTATATTTTTTATCAATTTTTATCTTTTACAGTATTTGTCCGATCATGTGTTCCATGTATATGTATTATTTACCACAAACATTGTTTTATTGAAAGGTTATCTAAACACCTTTGAATATTACAACAGGACATTGAACTATGCAAAAATCTGGACAAAGCAAGACATCAGGTTGCAGAACTGTCCTCGTAGTTTTATTAAGTGACTGTCAAATTTCATGTTAATCCTTTTCTTACATGTATTTGTAGCTTTTAGTGTGTAGTGCTAGCTCAAGAGTAGAGAAGTGCATCATAGCTTCCACGAAGACCTCTTAACAGATTTTAGTGTTTTGTTGAAGATGCGTAAAAGTGGTCCTTTACGAATGAATTAGACATTTTTTCCTGCTATTCTAACTCATGTACAACTTTGTGGCAAAAGTTCATGTAGAATTGTTTGTTAGAAATTAAACACCAGAATGTGTAAGTGAACTAAGCAGGACAGGCAGCTTACTGAAAGTAGTACATGAGTTAGACTTCTGCTTTAGATCGTCAGTTTTAAGGAACTTTCTTGAAAACTCTTTGAGACTTCATAGAGAAAACTTCAACCATTAAATTCAGATTATACATACATCTGACATGAAGTTCCACCTTTTTAAACATGATTTTGTCTGTGTCCAGAACTTTCAAAGCTGCTATTCCTACTCCTTGTCGTAGTAGCCCCCGCCCCTGTTACACCCTTATCTGATTACCAAAATAGGAACTCATTACTGTGGTAGATGCACATGTTAAATGCATGTACCTCTTCATCCAATTGGATGCTGTGACTTGTTAAAAGGCCTTTGTCTATTGGAGTTCAGAATGTGTAGAGTGCCACTGTGCTAATGACTTCTGCTTTTTAGGTCTCTAGTGAACCTAAATAATATTTAACTTCATTCAAGACCTAAAGTCTCTTAAATTCCTTTCATTAAACAAGACACAAATTGTTCTTTTCAAACCTTTGTACAGTTTTATTGCAAAAGTGTTCACATGATCTTCAAAACGTCTGGAGGAGTGCGCATCAGTTTTACACACTTCAGCAGCAAAGTTAGATTCCATCTCACAAACTCGTCATTTAGAAAGGACTTGTGTGAAAGTTAAAGCACAGTTATATATTGGGCTGATCAGTACAGTTTTTAAAAGAAACAGTTAAATTCTACTTTTTCCACAAGGTAAGAAAGTTTTGTCAACCCCTGAAAAACTAGAAAAAAATTGCACGTATGTTAACTTTTCACCAATCCTATGCTCAATTAATGGTTCATATCTAAAGTAAATTTGGGTAATGATTGTCAGGAATATTTTGTAATGACTGTCAGAATTGTTCATGAAAAATGAAAACACTTCCACTAGGAAATAAATTTACAAATGCTAAGTGGTGAACAGGGTGCAGTCACACTGCAAATCTTGTCACATCAAAGCAAAACTTGGCTGTCCAACATCTGGAGAGTGTTCCATTCAGGTATTGCTACCAGTATTGGAGAGTGATTTCTCACTGGACAGGCACAATCAAATTGTGATTACTGGCCACATTGACCTGGAAACATCTTGCCATTGTTCCCAGGAGTCACTGCATAGGTCAGTGTCATTTATAAGCACCACGATGTTCAGGAAACAGTCAAATTACTTGTTTTTCATTGCCTAAGTTTTAAAACCAGCTGGGCCTTATTTCTTTTGAAGCAATACTGTGCTGTTTTCCCTCTTTCAATATGCTCATGAAATGTTGATGTAGGGCTGTACTTTTCTGAAATACTGTAAGTTTATTAACAGTGACGCATTCCATGCCTGCCACTGTTTGATATCAACAAAGGGTGCCTGTATTTGTATTCCAAGAGTACAGTGCCATAATCCAGTATGCTAGACGTCCTCCAGCCGCAGTGTCGTGCAGTAATACTGTGACCTGGACACGTCCAGCAGCATGAGGGCAGCCTTCTCAAACCCGCACGTAACCAGCCGGTTAACCAGTGCCCCTGCCGTCTTGAACACGCCTCGGTCACGGCATGTTGCAAGGGCACGGGCCATCTGGTCGCAGGGGTCCCGCTGCTGTCGCTTAATCAGGTCTACTGTGCGCCTGTCTAAGCCCTCTGTGATGTTAGATGGGATGTTCTGCACCACCGAGGGCCACTCGTGGGCCCGGCTGACATGGATCCAGCTGGTCACGTATCGGAGGCAAAAATCGCACATTGCACCTGCAGAAAATTTGGTAATAGATTACCTAATAGATTATGTATATAGAAATCGTGGCATTTGGGATGGTAAACAGTTTTCTTTAAATAAGCAAAACCAACAGAATAACTGCAGTTTCTGTATACAGACTGTACTTTGGGAAAGGGCTCATTTTTGGGTAGGGAAGCTCAACTGGAATGAGTAATTTTCTTGACTTAAAAACTTCAAATTCTGACATGGAGGAACAGGGTACATTGGGGGCAGACTAGCCCAATCTCCTACAGTCAGTTAAAACATAAAATAAAAAAAACATCTTTATCAATAGCCTGTCAACAAAAAAGTCACCAGTTAACATTTACTGAACCTAAGTTGCACAGCCCCTGGTACCCATGTGCTCATTCGCAGAGATGTAAATGTTATCATGTGTCCTGCTCAGAGACACAAGAAATGTGCTCCAGGTGAATGTAATCAAGAGGGGAATATTTCCATCAAGTGTCCTGCTCAGAGACACAAGAAATGTGCCCCAGGTGAATGTAATCAAGACGGGAACTATTTCCATCAAGTGTCCTGCTCAGAGACACAAGAAATGTGCCCCAGGTGAATGTAAGGAAGAGTGGAATTATTTCTTCCAAAACCCAACCAAAATTAACATACATGTATATGCCTTTGTACCAGTGCACTATTAGACACAATAAAGCAGTGTCTTCCTTAGCGACACAAGAATTTTTCTCAAGTGAGTAATGGAGTTATATTTAGCAAAGCAAAACAATCACACTACTACGTCTACACTGATCATCTTGAATTTCACACGTTAATGTTGGAAAATAAACTTTACACATTTTAAATGAATTTTAGATATCAAAGGGCGCTCTGAAAATTATTAATTGCGATTTAGATACTGTAAGTATTATCAACAAACCTGTAGAAATGTCTACAGATCCCATCTTATCCACATCCAGCCCGACTGCGCCCAATCCGACGCTTTCAAGTGCTTTCAGGAGCTCGGTGTGTGAGGCATATTTCCCCCTCGTCTCTTTCCAGCGCACAAGCAGTCTGTAGCCCAATTCGGCTATGAAGTCGCCGTCGTATTGTATCATCATGGGTTTGGTGTCGACTCTGAGCTTATCGGCCAGTGGTTGCATCATGTCGTTCTCGATCTGCGAGGCAGCAAACTTCAGACCTGACGACGAAGAGGAATACGGCTGTATCTTACTTTTCTCAGTCCTCCCTGTCTTTTAAAGCCCAATGACACTCACAAGCCTATTGCCAATGTCTTGTAAATTTTCACACCCACAAAATTGGACTAGTTTGGCGTGAAGTTTGAGGTGTTGAGAATACGTAGGCCTACAGCCTTTATCTTGAGTATAGGCCCTGGAAATTCTTGATGTCAGCTGACGTTTTACAGAGTGCCATCAAGCTTTAGTTTGGTTTACCCCCCTCCCTTTGTTCTCAAACAATTATTCCAAGATACTCTGTTGAAAAGAGCACACAAATCTCACGTTTATCCTTTACGAGTTCTTCATCCAAGATGTCGGCGTTCAGTCTCAGTCCAACCTCCTCCATCTTGTACATGAGGTCCTCAAACCGCGCTCCCTCCCCCTTCCCGTCACTGTCCCTCCAAGCCACTAGAGAGTTCAATAGGAACAGCTTCTTGTTGAAGTCCTGTCCGTGTTCTCTTGTGAAGCCGTCGATTTGTTCCTCCGTCAAGCCCAGCCGACGCACCAGGCGGTAAATGGTTTCGCGGCTGGCGTCTTTGGAGATGATGCGAAGTAGAACAACTGTGAGGAAAAGGATTTAAATCTGATATTTTGAGGCTTCTAGTTTTTGATAAAACTATTAGGGACATTTTTTGTACCTGAGGCTAGAATAGTTTAATTTCATTTCTAATTATTTTCCTTGAACCTAGCTATCCTTACAGAGAATTGGCTAAATCAAGCTTTGGTAAACTAAAGGTGTGATTTCGGGCTAGGCTATATTCAAACGTTTTGAGAGGTTGTTGTACAATTTGGCAAATGGTATTTTGAAGTTTGTTAAACTTTTGAGTTCACACGCATGGAGCAAGAAATTCCTGTATAATGCAAATGAATTTACCATCACGTGCATCCACTGAGCTAATAATCGTGCATCTGTCAGCAGCTAATTCCATGCCACACTTGCGCATTGCTTGCAACAACTTAGTATGAGACGCCCTCTTGTTGAGCGTCTCGAATGAGTCTTCCCGCCATCTGTACAAGATCTGAAATTTGTGGTCGTTGAGCTCGTCCACATAGTTCTGCCGAGATTCTTCAAGATCGACTTTGAGAGTGTCAGCTAGGGGTTGGAGATCACCAGGAAGGCCCTTAGCAATGGATCTCAAGCCTAAATTAAAAGAAAAATATAAAATATTCAGTTAATTCACTGTCATGGAAGTCGTTATTATCATACTTGCTCTAAACCGAAACGGAACCATGGGTAATTCATTGAAACCTACGTTCATTGGTCAGCAAGTTTCTATTGAGGTTGATGGCAGCAGATGTCATCTTGACAGCCCTGAATGCTTCAATCAGCTTGGTAAACGTAGCCTCCTCCGCACTCGTCAGCATCCACTTCTCTAAGACGGCGTACCGCTGCTCATCAAAGTCACGATGATGCGGGAGGAGACTAAGGTTGAGGATCTCCACCTCTGACAAACCAAAGAGATGCATTGCGAGGGGAACCACGTAGTCCTTGGGGATATCCTTTGAAATGGTTCGAAGGACTACGTCTAGAAGAGTCAGAAAGATCCGAAAATATGGGAGTCGTAAATTCCATGCTTTGAAATAAAAGCAACTTTTATAAACTGTGTCATACTCGTGAACGAAAGCAAGACAGTTTCCGACAAAGATTCAATCGAATGTAAAAGCAAGTCACCTTTGACGACTTCCTCGTCGGTGAAACTTTCTTGGATCTCTGGAGGAGCGGGATCCTCTCTTTCCTGAAAGATACGATTTTAAATTTAATGTACGTGACGATTTCCCATCCTTTGTCGAAAACTTTAAGGGTATACAAAATCAAAACATGAGAAGTTTGCATGCAATCTCAATCAATTTTCCGAATTAGTAGTTCTCACCTTCGGAATAATCAACTTTGATGACGACACCACATCTCCTAGAATACTCTCAAGGTTATTCAGCGTGAACTGCCTCCCACTCCCCCGGTTAATCGTCCCAGCATGCACCGTAAGTCGATGCAGGAGGACCTTCCCCGAGTAGTCGGCTTGGAAACGCCCTCGGTAGACACCTTCCCCAAAAAAGTCCTTACGGTTGACTCGATTACGTAACCATTTGAGTTGGAGGCGATCCCTTCGGTAACTGGGGTTACCAAAAGTGTTGACGATCAAATCTCCAATGAGACGGATGTAAAATGTCTGAAAATAATTTTTTAAAGACGTATGGATAAATTTCATCTAATTCACTGCTGGCTTGACAACTACAATACTCAGAGAAACCGTGGACGGTGCTGTTATTCATTTTAAATCTGCTGTCTGAACTAGGCGTTCTATCTTCCTCTCTGGAAATCACTTTGATTTCAAAAATTAAAGAATATATATTTGGAATGATGTTATGGGCTTTATGTTAATTCAAATGTAATACAGCGATTACCATTGTAAAACTCTGTGCCTACCTCACCCGTCATGGCCTTAAAGGGTTCTGTTCTGGTCGATTCACACAATTTGTACCTAAAAAGATAAGGAACATGTCAAGTGTATCTTGAGGATCCATTGACTATCTACAGGTACAATTTTTGGGAGGTAGAAATAAATTAACATATTAGGCTTGTCGCTCACCGAGGTAGTTTTTACACCCAGTCGTGCGAGAGTTTGCCAGGACAAATTCATAAGACAGCTTCCATGTTGGAATTCAAACCCAGGGCTTCCTTGCACACGTCTTAATTGATCAACCACAGATATTTCGGGATGTAGCCGGTTCAAACATTAGAATAATTACAGCAACAGGTTTTGGCTTGTTTGGATTTAAATAATTCCTTTGATTGGCATTGTTTATTTATCCAATTCATCTTAATCAGAAACCTTCTTGAGCTTTTCTCTCCTCAGTTGGGTATAAAGATACATTCACTTAGGATTTCATTTTGAATGTACATCTCCCCGGCGCAAATCCATCTTTGAAATAGATTGTTCGCGGTACCTGCTGCTACATCTGATTCGAACCAGCCAGCCAACACTGGGAAGCTTGGTGGTCGAGTGGTTAAGCATGAGGTCGTGGGTTCGAGTACCACCCGAGTATGGTTGTGGTTTTTCTCGAGTATGCTGCCCCAGTTTGGTACTCAAGTTCTCCTTCACAACGAATATTACTGAAAGGAGTTCAAAGGCGATTTACTCGTTCCTGTTTGGGCCTCCCTAGAAGTCATTTGCCAAATTCCAGCCGGGACATTAATAAAGTATTCGACCCATAGTTCCAAGCTGGGTCTGTCCTACTTAACGAATAGGCTAAACTTTTTGGCAGTCGTCTTTGTAGCCAAATGTATCTATAGCAAATTTGACATTGAATCAGAGAGCTATATCGGTCTTAATTCTAGACACATTGATGATGTTAAATTTATTCATCATTATTATAGAACTATAGCTTTTCACGAGTCACTTTTGTCAGATTCCCCCGTTTGTGGGATACCCTGCCTGCAGACGTTGTAGATAGCCTGATCTTTGGTCTCAACACTTTCATTGCCAAACTGAGGCTACGTTGGCTGACTCCTGGTGTGAACTACATGGCATCTGGAGCCCTTATACAGATGGGATTTCGCTTAACCTTTTTCCTGAACTCTGTTTTTGGGTGTTTTTTCTCTTAATCGCATGGGTTTTTTTTGTAACTGCTTAAGTATATTACCTGGGTTTGTGTTTGTATGTTTGTGCAGTCGTTGCTTGTTTTCTGGGTCGTTTGTTCGTCTGTACGTTTGTTTGTTGGGTTGTTTGTCTTCTGTCTGTCTGGTGTGGGTGGGCAGACGGTTTGTCTGTCTGTTGGTTTGTTGTCCTTCCCTTTGTCTTACTTTTTGTCCCGTTTTGTTTGTTTTGTTTCTACTACTTGTATGTCTCAGAGGTTGTGTTTCTTCGTCTGTAAGGTCACCTGTTTCTTGTCGACTGTCTCTTTGGAGTTTGTTTTGTGGGAGTTTTGTTTTGTTCTTAGATTTTTAGTTACCGTCGGGTGCCTTCCTTGCTTTTCTTGTTGCAGTACATAACATTATCCCATAAACTTTAGGATTGTGTAATACTCTGAAGGGTTATTCTCTTCGCCCTTGGGATTATGTGTTTTAAAGTGAGTCTGCAAAATGTTTGCGACTTTGCAGTGTACCGTTTTTAGTCATGCTATGGAAGAACTACTTGATAGTGATTTAGTTCACTTGTTAGTAATCCCGCAGGGGCATGCAACTATTTTGGTGTTTGGGTCTTAGTCTTTTTATAAGGTTTGATGCTATATTTAAACTTTGTCTTTTTATGTCTTTACTATTTGTAATTTTTTTTTACTTATTTTGTTTTATCCATTTTTAATTTTACCTGCGAAATAATGAATGAAATGACTGAAATGAAAAAGGTTATGGGAGGCAGAGCACGTGTGCGAGTCGGCGTTCGGCCACGATGATGTTGCTAGCTCTCGCGCGCTTAGTGCTGTTCCCTCATGATCTTGGACGTGCTTCGTTTTGGGTAAGTTCTGTTGAATTAAACTGGCTTATTCGGAGCAAATTAGAGCTTCCTACTTTAGCTTTAACCTGTTAACCGCAGTTAAAAAGCCTAGTTGAAAAGCCTGTCAGACGGTTGGTTTTACTCACCCGCTTTCCAGCATGTAGGCTTTGAGATCTTCCAAGCCATTGGGCTTAACAAGGTGAGCCACTATCTCAGTTGGGTCATCCTGTCTCTGATGGACAACGAATAAGACGAGGTCTCCCTTTGGCTGCGGCATTTTGTCCTAAAAACCAAGAGAAATAATGACACACTGGAAATTCCAGGGTCTCATCGAAGAATGGGAATGGGCAAAATCTCAAGCAAATCTTTCAAACGGCATAAATCTCTTGGCCACTCATAAACAATATTTTTTCGAAAATATTGAAATTGAGGGGGTGACTGTCCGTAGCAATACATGAAAGGTATTGGCGTCTATACCACAATGAATAAACATAACTATCAATACGTACGGCGAAAAGAAGAAATCTGCCGGCTTGAAGTTTACAGTTAATCTACTAAATTCTGAAAGATTGATACGCACCAAACAGAGCGTCGCAAAATAATGACCAACAGACGTTTGTTTTTGACAATCGCTTTTGGCAATTTTAAATAATGCTCTGAAGTCATAGCCTTAACATCATAGAGCAAAAAATAATCAAGCACGTACATCGTGCTGATTCAAAGTTACTTCGCGAATAACATAACAGCACATGACCAGCCCGCCTTCAGCGTCTGTTGCTAAGGCGTTGCTAGGGATGTTGTTTAAGCATCGTTGTAATATTTTGACGGACTTTGAACTCATTTACCAGTTAGTATCTTTTGGTGGGTACTAATCTGGTCACAAAGATGGACTGTAAGGGTTATTTAAATATACACTCTCATGAAACATGTTCGTTAAAAAGGGAAAGATGTGGTGTCATTGCATATTCTGTGGCAGCACGTCATAAGCTTCGTGGACAGAATGCCGGTATGCGGACTCAAAGACTTTGCCCCTTCAGACAACAGCCGTCTACACACGCTCCATGTCTTCTTACCTGTCAGCAATAAGATGTTCTGTCAAATTTTGTCGAGAAATACCCCGTTTTAGTAAGACTCTCAAGAAGTTCTGCAGTTACAAGCTGTCCTGTAGGTTGTTAGTGGGGAAGACCCTTCGTATCCATGAGATACGTGGTCGCCTGATCTCTTGTCCTGGTCTACTCTGGGGTCATGTTTACTTATTCATCCCGAGTCGAAGGGAGACCACTGTTGGGAATACAGGAGGACAATAGAAGCTATGCACAAACATCTCGAGAAGAATCTAAGGCTAGAAGATTACCGAGTCTTTACATAATCAATTATTCTTATTCGCTTGCCTGAACTGTGCTATTCATCTCGACTATTCGCCGCTAAAAACGTAGACTTGAATAAGTCTTACTGTGGAGGGAAAATCAGAATTAACTTGCGTTCGAAACATCCTGTTGAGATGGTGGAGATAAACGACGTGGAAAAGAAGAATTGCTCCCAAAGTTTTTAAAATCAACCAGATTCCAGATTGGGTACAAAAGTCCCAGGGGGTGAAAGTCATTAACTTCTTTTAAATACCCGGAATATGCCCCATTCCACGGTGCATAGTTTCCATTTTGCTGCTGATGAGTGATTGACCCCCCCCAAAAAAAACTCTTAGTGGCGCCCACGTGCCAACGTGACGTGTCCTGCCTCTTTTTGTTCCTTCATGAGGTTGATGTAACCGTGGGGTGTGGGACGGGGTTGAAAGACACGAAGTAGGGGTGTTATTCCAACGCAGACGAGACTTTGAAGTAATTAATGAAGTCATTTTTGTGTTTGGAATGTAGTCGATTGACTTCTGTGTAGAAGAGACTGATATTCCATATATTCCTCTCTTGGGCATCATTTTTTAACACCGATTTGTACTCCAAGCGTTTATTCATTTTTGTATTAGTCAGTTGCGACGATGAATTCGATTCCGGCCTATTCAAAGTCATAGCGATCATGGATGGGGAGGGGTTGTCTTGTTTGAAGTTGACATAATGAATGAAAACAGCGCCCTCAAGCCACCAATAGCCACGAAGAATTGGCATGAGCCATTGTAACATCTGACCGAGCATTCTTTCCTACTCGGTCATTGAGTCAAACATAAAAGGTTTCTTTTTTATTGGCAACAAAGGTTCACTGTTCTGTGTTTTTCTATATACTGCCAACATTTTGTTTCCGGAATTTGAGATTGCTTTGTATTACGCACACTTAATTGATCTCGTCTTAATGGTGGGAGGGAAGATCGTCTTATCATCAGTGGCAGGACAGTTTCAAGTCGTTGTGTTCAATTGTTAAGCAGGGAAACTTTCCAACAATGGGCTACAGTGTTCTTTCCCACAAATCAATAAAACTACTATAGAAGTGGATTGGCGCATGCAATGGGGAGATGGAAGGGAAGGCGACATAAGAAAGAGAAATGAGGGGTCGACGTCAAACCGACGGAGGAAATAAATCCGCAGCTTAAGGCAACCCTTAACACAAAATGCTTCCAGCGCTTAGGTTGCTTAGGCTAACCTCACACTTATATGTTCATGCAACATACCACACTGTAATTACAAGAAAAATTTCAAAGGACTGTGGTTGTATAGGAATGCTTGCTATAGTCAGAAACAGGGATCTATAGTCTGAAATAAGGAGCTTCAGCATCTTTCTTAACTGTCTAAAACTATATTATCAAAATTGTTATTATTGCGCCGGATTCAAAGAAAATGACAAAATTCTTTCTGATATTGTTTCAGGCACGTATTATTCTTAGTACCAAACGACCCTCTATGGCATTATGTCATGTACTGCAAGAAATAATATGGATACTACGTAGTGAGGACTTGTCGTCGTCATTGAGAAGGGGCGAGAGAGGCAGGAATTGCAAGATCCTGGTTGAAAATGAATATTAAAATATCCATTTTCCCCATGTGATCTGAGTCAAATGGTCACACATTGCAACAAATACCATCCACTCCGAGAATGCAAATTACACAACTTTTTAAGGGGGGGGGGGCTGGTCCCCACCATATTTTCATTTTAGCCAATAGTGCCCCCGGCCCACCTGGTTCCTACGTGCCAGTATTTGAATAGCTGAGATTCCACTGGATTCTGAAACTTTCGCTTGCTCTACAACGACCTGGCCAAGGTGATTTTGTCCTCATAAAATGCGTTTTTCAAGCATTCGCACTTAATAGTGTTGTTGCAAACAAGGAAATTATGAATTGTTGACGTTAATTTTGCCAAGTCACGATTCTGTTAAGTTTTTAATAGGAACTGGAAAAGTGAGTCAGATAAAAACCACAAAACCGTCACATGAGCACAGCGCTGAAGAATGTACGCGGCTGCGATATCGTCACAACTGGTTCCGTTATTGAAGAAACTCGCTAAAATTCTATCCCTTGTCATTTTGGGAAACTATAGTTATTAAGCGAAAGGACACGTCACTGCAATACTTTCATTAGGAAGAGTCTACTGTCTTTGATGACCGCTGGACCCTCTTTCTCGTCGGGTCTTGAAGGCAAACATTTTAAACCAAATTTCATGAAACTTTTCGTTGAATTTTTAAAAACCAATTTTCTTAAGTTGATACAAAATCAATTCAAGTATTGAATGTCTTTTCTGGATTTTTTTCGTATCTCAAACGACAATGACCTCTTGCGTTTCGATTCCAAACCAATATTTAGCTAAAATGAGAAGATACGATGGAAACCGTTTCTGTGTCTCACTACGGTGATCTTTACTCTTGACCTGTTGTCAGGGTCAAGCAGGCCATCCCTTTATTTAAAATTTCTCTGGCTGGAATAGGCCTATATGTTTATGTTGCTTTTTTTCAATGTTAGTGACTCTCTTCAATATCAGGACTGATGCAATGACCATTTCTGACCTCGCATAACAGTATCCATACTGGCCAATTCAAAATCAGCTTCAATTATGAAAGTGTTCTGGCGTGCTTGTTACAGTTTATTTCTCTTAATTTTTCAATTCAGATGCAATTCAAGCAGCAAATTAGAACAATTTCACAGTAGAAACAGGAAACCATTTGCGATAATTCATTTTACGTATATACAAATGCCAGCAATAAGTATGATTATAAATAATGCAATCTACATATAAAACATTCAGATGATAATATAAAGACTTGGATTAATTTCAGTTTTGTACAACCTTAAATAAATAGCTGAAATATCTACACTCCTTATGTTTTATAAAGCAATAGTTTTTACAGTAGGATTGTAGACCTTCTTGAGGTAGGTACAGGGCCAAAGGCAGTTATTTACAAATGCACATGTACACAATGGTCGAGTTCGGGCGGCCTGTTCTTGACACGGGTTTCTTGTTCTCGCGCTTGAACGGCGGGAACATGACTCAAGAACACTGTTCCCGGAACAGGATCACACACTACCTCCTCGTCAGGGTTTTACAGGAACACACGGAAAAACTCGTGAGATTTGATTTTTGAACAGCCGTAAAAAATAGCCAGATGGCTCACAAAGCCGGAGACAATGGGAAGTTTTACAAAAATAACAATAATCATTTTCCATAGCAAAGAAATGAATGTTCCTTTTTAAGTAAATAGAAAAGAATTCAGCCCAGCTTTCTAAAGTTTACTCTGAAAGAACGCACATGGATGCCGCCATGATGCATGCAACAATCAGCGAGAACCGGTTGTACGTTCCCGGTGTTCGAGCGGCCGACTAACAAACAACAGATCGAGCGATTCGTGAACATAGGAGAACAAGCCGCCCGAACTCAGCCAATGTGTGAGTCTGTACTCTCTAAAGGCAGAAAAGTGAAAATATCACTCTCACAAAGAGCGAGTCCCGCATAAATCCACTCAAAAAAGAGGGTGAAAATCATTCTAAAAGAGGAGCCACAAAAATCTGTTTTCAAATCGTCCTTTAAACAGCATCTTGGAGTGGTTTTCACTTTTCAAAGAGTGGCTTTCACCCTTTTGAAGTGTTTTTACTCACTCCTTTTATGAATAAGCTTTTCACTCTTTTGCATTTCACTCCGCCCTAACGAACCCACTGCAACATGTAGCCGACAATATCTGTCGCATGTGAACAGGGTTCCAGTCGTTAAAATGGACTGATCCGTCATCTGCAGACATTTTTCTTTATATCGTTTCAGGATATGAGCTTTTATCTGAAGTCTCCAGGATTATTTTTGAACTGTTGCAGTTTCCCCGCAATAACTACACCAGAGCAAATCACAAAGCAGCATTTTCAGGTTAATGGCCTATCCGTGATGAAAAAGACAAAAACTGGTCCTTTAAAACTAGCTTCTTGTTTGACACTTCTTCATGTCGACTGTTTTTGTGATCCATTTCCGATACTTGCCCACCTTTGTGTACACACCTGGCACGGCGTCTCTGGGTGACGGGTTGCAAAAGGTGTTCTCTCCCCACGAGGTGACTCCAACCAACTTCCAGCTTCCATCCACCTGCTGGCAAACTAATGGCCCACCGCTGTCGCCCTTACACGTATCGGCCCGCCGTTCCCCTTCCAGGTACCCGGCGCAGATCATTCTGTTGGAGATGAAACTACCATAGGCGCCCCGGCAGTCTTTGCGACTGAGGATAGGCAGCCGTGCTTGGTTGATGATATCTGGTCGTCGTCCAAAGGTGAAGTCCAAAAAATCTAATGGTGACAGGACAATAATATGTAAAGCAAACAAATAAAGAAAAAATATGGGGATGTGTGGGAAGTCAGTCTATTCTAATATGCAGCATAAAATTCTGCCCTTACTTGTATAACCCCATCCTGTGACGTAGCACGTATCTCCAGCCTGAAACTCATTCTTCTCCGGCATACACGCAGGCATTACATAGTCGTTGATAATGACGTCATTATCCGGGGCTGTTCTGAGTTTAACTACGGCGATGTCGTTGTTGTACGGAACACCGTTCACGTATTGGCTGTGGATGTGGATGCAATCCACTGCGAATCGCTGCTCCGTGCCCTCCGGTCTTGAACGGTCGTGTTCGCCCAACACTATGATGATATTGTCCTCATGCCATCTGAATATGACAAATGATTTTTTAATTCGAGTAAAATAGTGCCGCGATTTTATAATGTCAATAGGAAGATTAATGTTAGATGAATAAGATAATTTATAGGAAGTAAAAGTGTTGGGATTTTCTTCAAGATACAACGATTTAAATAATGGGAAATACAGTGATAAAATCAATGTGATGCAGGTGATCATAATAACATTGCAAAATGATGATAAGATGATGAAATAAGAATGATGACGGTTGCTATGGTGATGAAAGTTGTACTTGTAGTGATGTTGACAATGAAGTTGATAACGAATACGATTATGAAAGCAGACGAATGTTTAATGGTAAATTTGACAATGCAGAGAAGAAGATGAAACGCAAATCTTGAGAATGATGAATTCCTTACTCTCCACTGTCGAAGCAGTGTGCTGCAGTCAATATGTGATCTCTTCCAATCAGCGTTCCTCCACAGAACTGTTCCTCGGATGTCTTATTAACCAGAGCGACTTGCCAAGGCCAGCGATTACTTGATTCGATCCCCGCAACAACCCGAGTGGAACTCTCGTTCTGTCTCGGTGGAAGGATGGGTCGCTTACCACAGACATCTGAATAACCGAGTAAATCAATTCAATGGTGGTAAAGATAATGGCGTGTTTGATGACCATTTTTATAGTTTAAAAATGCAGATGGTGTCTTCACCTGATGGTGCGCGCCCTAAACAAAACTACTGCAACGCGGTGTATTAATTTACCTGTTAAGGAACCGGTCAATAGTGCCTCTTCTTCACGGACGATGCCGCCACCTGCAGATTTGGCATGCATGTTGGCGTTGAAAATCTGTGTGTTGACAAATAGAAATATGGCATTCGTCTTTTAATAACAAACTGAACAGTACAAAAAGTTGGGAACATAGCTTCGAGACCAAACTATTCGTTCGCGGAATTCTTCACTCATAAGGAATACAAATAAAGCAAAAAGTAAACAAACCTCTGAAGCGACTTTGAGCCGTTAAACTGAACCAATCAATTGCTTTATAACAGATACGCCCTACTAATTTGGAGATGCCCCACAACCCCAGCAAACAAACAGAAGTATTTTCATTGCGTGGTTGCCTCAACAAAATTGACCAGCTAATCGGAAGCTTGCGATATGCAATAAAATTTGCCAAAAGGGGCCCGATCAGATTGGCAAAGGCGACGTTGTGGCAAGGAAGGGTGGTTTGCGAAAATACATAACACGATATGATGTTCCTTAAGTGTAAACATGGATTGCCACATAATACGAACGTCAGCAATCGGCATCTGATTTATTACTGCCATGAATCTGTCAACAAAGAAAATTAGGCAACGTGCACAAACATGAACCCGCGATGACTTTCATTTTGCCTACTCACCTTCTCGTCGTTAGGTCCTTGGCTTCCATCCGTCGCCTGGGGCTTGTTTGCAGTCTTGATCTTGACTGCGCGGCCTTGTACACCGACCAGACTTGACATGTTGATGGCGAGAACTAGGAGAACGGCCAACACAAGGAACGCATCCCGCGAAGAAGAGGTCACGGCAAAAAAACGACCAGTCATCCTCGAAAATCCCCGTGAAATTGCGATTTCTGCAAACAAGTTGACACGCTGACGCGCCTTGATGAATCGTTGACAGTCTTACTGGCTCGCTTGCTATGAAAAGGCTCTTGAAATGCGAGTAAATTCAGCTTGTTCTGACGACAAATCTACAGACGGGTCAATATCTCCCCGCCTGCTCTGTGTTGACATACAGGGAGCTAAGTCTGATTTGTGGCTTTCTCTGCGCTTTCAGTCCATTAAACATGCGTACAGCAAGCACTCCCAAACCAAGCCTTTTCCCACAACAGTCCTAGTGTCGATAACGAAGTTGATACAGCCAGTATGTGTTAGAGGGTAATATCAGTTCACTCAACCGCGTGTAACAGGCCCCAGCTATGAACTCCAATTTCCTTCTGTCGCTCAAGAGGTTGACAATAGGGTTTTATACTCCACACCAGACGGCAATTCTCGGATTAGGTCAGTGACTGTATAAATATTCATATCTGTGGAGTTTTAAATTTCCCGTAAACCCCATTCCCACTAAAGCCATTTTGGGATCACTCATTCAGTTGGCTACAAACCATAATCTCTGTCCACAAGAGTCAGGTGGTAATGTTAACCGCTAATGCTCGGAGCATCCTTGGATTCTGTATGGACGGTGTCACATTAACACAGTAGTTGACAATGAAGGCGTTAGCAGTCGCACTCAGGGCCGACTTTTAAAGGCGTTTCCTCATTTATCAGATTACGGCGTGAATGGATAATAGCCGAAAATTACCTCGTCCAATCTAAATGCGCCGTGGGGATGCGTACACATCAACAGGAGCGCGATTTCGGCGTAAAGTCTCCTGACTTGAAATCGGCGATATTCGTTCTCAAGCTCAACTCCGGCAAGCACGACTCATTCGTGAACATTAATTTTGTGCTACGAAAACGTCGCATGATTATTTGTATAAAAACATGACTTCGTGTTTTAATGTTTGTAACGTTGACGTCAATCTTTAAATCTGCACTTCATTTCCCCTTTCCCCGTGGAAATATTGAATGGTTTATTTTTAGTGAAAAAAGTCCCTTTCTGTTTGTAAAACACGCCAGTTTCATTCTTGCCTGTTGGCATATTTTTCGACTGATGCTGCTTTAATATTTCGATGTCGAATTGTGGAAATCAAAATCATGTTTACTCAATCTCGCCATCAAAACAAATCGTCCATTTATCGCAAAAGTCCTTTACTGTAATCGCCCCCTCGTTCACATTCCAGTCATTTTTTCAAACAAAAAGTTTACTTCTTCAACTGGCACACACATTTATAGCACATGTTATTGCATTGCTTTTCCTGCTAGGTACAGTTACCGTGGGATGATGCAGTTCAGTCAAAGTTCACACCTTTAATAACAGACCACCAACACGTACCTGACAGACAGGATCGTGTATATACATTTAGTTTCAGAAATTAACCCCAGAAACTTTTGAACCCGATCTGTGTGTACTGGCAAAATGAACTCTTTTGAATACGGAAGCCTGCTCGTTTTTCACAATTTAAGCTGCCAAACTATTCATCTATTCTTATTTAGTTTGAATTGGAACTTTAAAATGCAATTTTTTCAGTGCCGTCAGTTGCTACGTTGCAAAGGATGCGGGCATAGACCTTCACAATTGACACTTCACAAAAGGATAACGACTCGTTTTAATACACAGAACGTGGGGTGTTCGAAGCATGTGACCGCCAGCTGAAAAGAAGAGTTCTGTCTACCAAGAAAAACAAAATGACCCGTTCTGATCCCGCGATGGCATGCCATAAAATATGTTCCCAGTTTACCAGGAATATGTTTCTAAAACTTTTGCAGCAGGAAGTTACTGGCTTTGCATTTGAAACCAGCTATTTTACCCTCCTCCGCCCATCGCTGACAACATACCAAACCAATGCCTTCGTGATAGTGGTTTCGTCGTTACTGGATTCTTCGAGGAACCTTCAGACACCACCTCCAGGACGACCTCAAGATACCTCGAGTCGAACCAAGCAGAGGGCTGGATGGAACATGGCTCCAGGAATTCCTCTTTCCGTTTTTCAACGGAGATGTGTGAGCACGTGATACCGGATCCGTAAACATCACCTGTAACGACATAAAAAGGATTTCCGTCCATCGTTGAAAAGTCCAGTTAGATTCAAACATTTGAATGGAAAAAACATTGGAGGTGCGATCAATTAGAAAGCCATCTGTCCACATGTGCGCTATCATAATTCTCGTTCGTATGAAGCAAGATACGGGACAGAGAGCGCTCCTCACCTTTGTGTTGGGCATTGTTTGATCGGAATCTCAGGAATTCTTTACAGACGGGGGGGATGTGTTAGGTAACAATAGTCTAGAGTGTGTATAGGGATTGGAAATGTGGGAGGGGTACCCTTCGTCCCATATCTTGCTCGGTATATTCTCGCTGTTATAACCAATTCAAAGCAAATAGACGAAATGACAAAAAATCCATTTTTTTTTCATAAAATATGCTGTCTATTCCAGTTCTTGGAAGAAAGGTGCCCACACCTGGACATGTTCCAAAATTTCAAAGGTACGAAAAAATGGAACATGAAAGGCCGTGAAAGCACAAACACTCTCTCTGTAGTGTGCCACCGTAATCAGATTAGCGAGAGCAAAAAATGGCACGAGAAAAATTCCACAAACATTTACTTAACTCCCTTCAGCACAAACTTTCTGCAGATAGGGGAATGGACAGAATCGACAAAGGATTGTGGTTGAAGCAGGTACTAACGGCGTTGTATAATGATTGACAATGCAGTGTTTGCTTCAAGCGTGGGAAGAAATTATTGACAATAATAGGGTTGTAGCATCTGGGCATACGGCGGCTTTCTGATGCACTATTACGGCTTCGTAATATTTACCACCCCTATTAACGAGACCCTGTGAAGGCTTGTCCACAGAATTCAATTATACCTTTCTGTTTACGATCGATTGTTGTTCTTTTTGCAGCCAGTTCAACAGTTGCCTGGACGCTCTATTTTTTGACGGAAACGGGTTGGTTTTGATAACCGTTACCAGGCGCTGTCAAGGAATCACAGACTGACCGCGTCGGCATAAGGAAGTCCAATATGCAGAGTCGTTGGATAGTTCAACAAAGTACATTCCGAGGCTGCCTCGTTGGGGGTGTTTTCTTCACTTACTTTAATGGTGCGAAAGGTCTTCACATTTAGAGAAAAACTTGCCGTGCAGACGCAGATTTAGGGGGTGTCTCAAATGAAAAGGTTAAAGTAAAGTGATTTTGAAGCGGTAACAGGTTTCAGGTTCTATTTTGCCAGTCTGACGTGTTGAATCAAGTCATTTGCTACCCTGGATATCTTTTCAGCATAAGAAGTGTTATTTTCTGGATCCTTATGTCTTTTCCGAAAGAAACGCCCCCCCCCCCGATAATCACTGTGCTCATCATCCACCTGCAGACTGAGTGTCACTCTCTAGACAGATGATTGTTTGGCTTATTGTAAGCTATATTTCATCGTGGTGGTTTTGTTCTTCATTATACCGACGCATATTTATAAACACTGTATGAATACTTGGAGCTGTCCGAAGGCTACTGAAAAAATACCAAGCTTACTCGAGTGGGACTTGAACCTGCGACCTCTTGCTAACTAGTGACGTCCAACCACCTGAGCTTGCCAGGCTGGCTATAGCGGGGTTGAATCAGACGGGTAGCAGGTACCGCGTCAAAATTATAAGGTGTAAAAGGGGACGCAAAAATGACATATTTTAATAGACTCCAGGTCACTGCGCTATACTTACTGCTCGTTCGCAAATTGAAGTTCTCTTTTTTTGTCACCACAAACTAAATTTCTAAGATTCGGTCTATTTCTTATAACCAGTGAAAGGCATACTATCTCTTGTTGGGCGGTACTTTGTTTCATTGCTACTCTAGCTACATCATTCTTTGAGGGTGTGCTTGGGTGACGAAACAAGATGATGATTGTAGACGGGTGTGGCTATCATACAATGACACAAGCTGCGATTTTGCATTAGCCCCGTGATGTTGATTTAGCGCTGGTTATCCTATATGTAGATATCACATAATTCGTGGTTTTTACAGGGAAGAAAAGGCTCATTTCCACAGAACATAGCAAAACAAGGAACCAGTCGGCATGGTTACAAGGGTAGTCTTGATTCCAGACCATACTTTGCAGTTTGCCCTTCGATGCAAAGCTAGGCCCATTTGTGATGTCAGCAACATCATCTTCCTGACGTTCGCGGCGACAAGGCAGCAAATTCTCTCTGAAACTGGATTACCTGCATGCACCAAATCTGGATTTTTATAATTATGTGCTGAATTTTTGTTTTGTATGTTCAGCGCTGAGGTTTACGAAAACCGAAGGGGTCGAGACCAACATGAATAAGTCTTTTGATTTTCTACTTTTTCTCGTCTCTCTCAAGTTTTGGTCTTGGGAAAGCTTTAAACTAACTACTGAATGGGATTGTACAAATTAGCATCAACATGAAATGTAAAGTTCCAGTTCTTTGAAATTGGTTCCGGTGCCTTGGGCGAAGCAGGGCTGTATACGGAACACTGAGACTGGAAGTATTCCCTGTTAATGTCGGATCGCAACACAAATGAAGTTCTATCCACCTGTCACGCTTGCGCTAACATGTATGATGACGATAAAATGGCAATGAAAGTGTAAAAGAATGCAAAGAATTTGTTAGTACCATGATACATGCATTCATAGCTGAAGTCACAAAAACGCTATACACGTTGAAAATTAGTCTCCAAGTTCATGTATGTAATAAAAATCCATTTGTTGGTGAAAACAACCTAAATCACGCTATGGGAAGGTTACCTTTCGTTGAGTTATTTGTTTTTATTCATTTCCATTTTGTTTACTATTTACCATGTTGGACCTTTTTGACTCCAGTAATACTTTGTTTTTGCTACGTAATCGGTCCTTTCAAATCATAGTATGCCAAATATTCCGTTTTTGACCACATAGAAGGACGGACAAGGAACGGCTGCAGACAGCAAACAATGAGTTGTCTCCTTTTTCCGCGATGTTGATTAGGATCATTTCCGAGAGAGACATCTGTCACGGGTGAAAAAGTACTCAAGGAAACTACCATCCCATGCCCATGAATTAGACCTGATGCCCTGACCATGGACCGTGTAGATGCGTAGGCTGACAAATAACTATCAGGATCAGCGAAAAAGACTCTGTAGCGTCGATAGCACAATGATTCACATTCCACATGGGCCGCTTGTAGTTTTGACCGACATTTCGGTAGAACTGCAAGGTTTTCCCTTTGGTGCATCTTCCCAACGTGCCATGCTAAGGTAGAAACAGAAAATAGAATGGGGGTACGACCAAGATACGCAATGAAACTTTACAAACGTGCATGGTAAACAACTTGGGTCCACGCCAGGGGCGTATCCAGCTTTTGGTGCTGGGAAGGAGGCAAATTCAGAAACAATGAGGGTGTGGGATCATTGAACATGACGTTGGCGACAAAAAATAAGCCTATCAAAAGCCTTACTCGCCGTCCCAACATCCTTGCTTTCAGTCTTTCATGGTGTTGTTTTCTTAGGATGCTGTTACTTTTATTCGATAAATAAATCCACGCATCATGGGCGTTAGGACATACTACCGGAGACCGCAATATTCCTTCAAATTCTTATTAGCTTTAGCTATATAGTTGACATGCCCGATAAGATTTGTTACCCACACTTAATTTTAATCTTCAAAGGACTTAGGTTCTGGTCCTTACGTGATTTTTGTTTTGCCATAACATTTTTTGGGTAATATGTCCACTGTGCAGAAGCAACAGGCGAGCTGTAGAGTGAGCAACGAGACTTTGGTTTATTTATCGATACGCGTTGGGTATGATATTTTCTGACGTCGCAAATTCTCAGGCCTGACAGGCAAGCTTAATATTTTTTAATGTAGGCTTGTAATACCGAGTCCCAAATATATCCTCCAAACCCAAAACCTAGTGAAGTAAACTGTTCAGGAACAATTTACAATCCAGGACTTGCGAATAATTTTAAATGAGTCCTTTGTTTACGAGGATTACACACGCTGTTTCCATGGAAAACTTCGTCCACAGATCATTTCGCTGAATCACCCTGATCAGATCCTGGTACAATTGCCCTTATAAGGGCAAAATATGATTGTTGCATAAATTGTAATTTTCAGGCCCGTCACCGCAAAACCGAAGGTTTGGGTCATTGTTAGCCGCTGTTAGGGCATCCTGGACATTACGTCTGGTCACTAAACTTAAAGTTACATTGAGTGTTAAACTCCATCTACTTCATTTTGGTATCATGCTTCTCTTTAAAATCTTTGTGTAGGCCTTTACCAATACGCCAGCCCTAGATAGATTCGTGTTTATAATGGTTTGCAGACCGCGCTTTCCAGGAGTACGCGAACGTAGGCAGCGAAACGTGCGGAGAACGTATTATGTTCTCGCGGTGGTGAAGTTTTACCGCGCAGTTGTATCCTATGTCCCGTGGTGCTTCCTTCGGACTGGTAGTACGCCTCCTACAAGTTAACGCCCCTCTGACATCAAAAGCGAATATTCCTCGACCCACACTACCACATTATCCCATCATTAACCACACCGCACTCTCTATGGCTACATTGAATGACATAGAGTCACAGCGCACACGCCTTCGCGATCATTCTAATGAACCTAAGACGATAGGTCAAAGTCACAGCTCCATTTAGGTCCCTCACGGGGCCCTCGCGAATAAATTATGTTCTCTACAACCACACGTTCCTGTCAGGACTAATAAGTGTCAATGACACCGTCAGTCAGGTTCTAATGTAATTCAACTCACGTGTTCCTGCACGTGCATATACTCATTCCCAGTTATGGATTGGGTGAAGTCGGAAGTTTTTTAGGTGACCCAGTTTTGAAATCGACTGTACACGCAACTGCTAAACAGAAAACCGTGTTGTGCCGCGCCCCTCAACGTCCAAAGCCCTTATTTCCCTACCTGCTCTGCCAAGTCTTAAGAACATATGTAGCTTAGAGATGGCTACTAATCCCTCCAAGATAGTTTCAAAGAATTATTGCTGCCTCACCCTTTGATGTCCAAGCCTCAATCTATCTCAGTAAAATGATCGAAGACCTATACATGTACATTGTCTGCTCTTTGTTCCTTGCAATCGTATTTTTACCTTTAGTGGATGGTAAAACTGTTACTGGTCGTCAGTGTAAACGTAAAGGAAGGATTTATTAAGTGTTGAAAACATCTCACGCTGCTATCCAAGCACCAAATATGAAACAATACCACTGTAAATGAAAATACGATTCTCTTTAAAAGCAATGTGGGAAATGTACAATTTGTGGTTAAATCTGCCGCCAATCAAGGGTGATTTTTTTCTGCAAAGTTTGGCTGCCCAAAGGGGAATGAGAGCAGTCTATACGCCGTTTGGGCAAAGAACCCAACATCGAAGCGAACGTTTGTCCCTCTGCAAACCCCGATCAAGGATTATATCCCAATGTTTTATTATGTGATTTTTGTAACTCCAAACTTTATCGCAGCCACGCATAAGTTCAGATGTCAATGATATCCTGGGTGACTATGTTTACGCGGAGGTTGTTGACCCCAAAATGTCACGTTCAATTTGTAACGTGTGTTTCTGACACAGCATGGAAATCATCTATCAAGAAAAATACCGTCAGACGAAATAATGTTGAGGGTGGATGTATACCATTCATTATCGTTTGCCTGATGCTCTTGTATTTCTGTCCGTTAGGCTGCGATGCTTTGAGCTGCTACGTAATGCTTGGCTGTCTATCTCTTCCCAGTTAAATATTTCGTTTTAGTTATAGGCCTATATGTAAAGAATATGAAAATTGTTACACGAAACAATCAGCAAATGATTTTGAACGGTACACACCATCATCCTCTGTTCACCTAGTTGGAATTTGTCGCTTCCTTTACTGCGTGTGTGTATAGTCAGAAAATATTTCAAAGTTTAGTTTTAATGAGGGATTTGTTTGATATGTTTTATACGCTGGAGTTTAAAGGAAATCGATTTTGATGTTTCCACTTATAATGTAGTATTTTTCCACAATATTGTTATCATATTTAACTAACCTTTGATTGGACAGTTGATGTAAAGAATTGACTTTTTGTAGCGAAAGCAAATTGGTTGGTTGGAACCAGGAATATGTCTGTCATCAAAAAGTTCAGTTTCGGAACTGAGAGGAAACAGGGTTGACTAAGTAAGTGGTTGGTGTTTACGTGCACAAAATTATGCGCCGTAATACTGGGGTCTTCCCCAATGGAATACCTGTGTCGTCATAATAGAAATGCTTTGGCAATAATCTGCGAAGGACTTCTTGCGCTGGTTTTAATTCAAAACCAAGATGCCCAGACATTTGAAGCATTATTCAGTGATTCCTGGATTTCTTTTTTTTTCTCAGTGTAAATAACTTTGCTGAAATTAGATGGTGGACGTGACGTGCGCTAGCTGGAAATCATGCATCAATTAGGCCTAGGGACTACACTGGAGTGGATTGTGCCATGTTTTTCAAAAATTGGTATAAACAACTACATGTATTACTTTTAGAAGTACATGAATAAAGAGATCCTCCTATTTCCGAGGAGTGAAACTGCGGTATGACACGAGTTAGAGTGAAAAATCATTCGAAATGTGTGAGTGAAATACTTTGCTAAAAAAATCTATCTGCTGTCAGCTTGTAATGAGTAAATTTCACTCCAAATTGACTTATCTCAAGTTTGAGTCTTATGGAGAAAACCTTTTTACTGGATCATAAAGAATTTTCGCATTCTAGAAAAGAAAGGTGGAAATCAGTTTCCATCTTATGCGGATTTTCGGGCATTTGTGGCTGATGTCCATACAAGTTATTTGCTCAGAACTAAAACTGGAATATGACGTAATATGACTCACAGAGGAAGGTGCCGCATTCTGCCGCAAAACAGGAAGAAAACCTCATAATTAGAAATTAAATGAAAATATCATTAACATATGCTTCACTTTGCACAGCTAATAAAAGCTGCCTGAATTAATATTATTTCTGACACTTTAAGGTTAAAGTGGTATATCTATAAGTTCCGATCATAGCGAGTTACCACAATTCTCAGTTTCCACAAAATATACGTGTAGAGTTTATTAACAGGATTGTTGAAGATTTATTACGCCTGGAAATTTTCTGATGCATTGACCTTTCACCGAAAGAACTGGACCGTACTTGACGAAATTCTTCTCGGAAAAATCACAGTTTTCTTAAAAGTATGTTTCAAAACATGTCAATCTAGTCACGACTTCATACGATTGCAATAAATACGTCCAACTGACTAACACTGCTCCATTTCTTTCATCAAATCAGTATTTATCTTGTAGGAGTCTAAACATTCCTTAAAGTTTTAAATCACCACAACAACGTCTCGAATAAGGATATCCTCCCCGCTTCCCGGACGACAGTAAATTAAATCCCCCTTCACGATCTACCATACCACAAAATAAGATTAATGTTGACCAATCACGAGGAGGTAGTTTGCATCAAGTTTCGGGAATTTGCATTCAGGCTATCAAGCTCCGCAACGTGTCCGGAAACAGCCGTAGGGGACCTTGGTTGCAGTTACAGCGCTCCTCCATTGCTGTGATTTGATTGGTTAAGGCCGAAGTGGACTCCCTGGGTTAAAGACACATGACAGTATTATTTTTAACTGTGACATAATCTAAAGTAAACTCTAAGCATCGCCACTTGACACCGATGAAAGTTTCAACAGTCAGAGGCAAAATGAATATTCATGAAGGCCTCCGTAAAAGGTATAAATGCAGCACTGCGGCGTCACAACCGCTAGTGGAATCCCGGATCGAAAAAGAGAACAAGTCAAATATTTGGAGTCGGTGGTACTTTTCAAGAGAAACGTGAATCGAAGAGTTAATAACCCAGTGTTTGCGAGCTACTGAGAAATCACCAGGGTACTGAAGATTGTCCAAAAGTCAATTTGAACAAGTTGTGAATCTTTATATTGAAAGTATGGGCGCTATCAACTTCTGGCCAACATCTTTGCAACTGATGTTACTGTTTTTTCTGACTCTGCATAGTTTAGCAGTGGAGGGTAGAGCGCTACACCTGGAGCAGGTAAGGCTGATTTCTGATTTCTTTCAAACTACTTCGTCGTATATTCCACCCACCTTTCCAGGTTGTCTGAAATCGTTTCACCTACCTTCCCTTCCCCCATTTTCTACTGTATCCCAGCCTTGACAATTTACAATGAAGACATGGTTTAAGTGAGAATACGCAGCTTGAAGAATGATGAACCTGCCTACAAAAACAGTCTGCATATAATTATGTGAACGCCATAACGTTCTTTGTTTAATTTAGCCTACGTCCGCACTTGCATGCAGAAAATCAATACTCCGGATTTTTGCACCTTCTACTTTCTAGCCAATTACAGTGAAGACTTCGCCTTTTGTTTATCTGACAGAAGTATAGATGAAACGGCTATATTTTTTTCCATCCAGAAATCAGCTCGTGGCAGGATGAATGCTGGTGAAACAGATAAAGCCGTGTCTGGTGTAGTCACTCTGCTGGCTGGTCTCAACAATCCAAGTACGTACAGCCATATCTCTGTTAGGATTTCAACTGCTGTGGGCATGCAGGTGCTCAGTGATTTTATATTATACACTTTGCCGGAGACTAGATACACGTGGGGCCTATTTGCTTTACAATGCTGGGACGTTCAAGCTGAACTGGACAAAGCATTTTAATAGCTATGGCCATTAGTATTTCATGCCATCACCTTCCAATCAGAAACTTATTTCACACGTTCAAGAACTCTGATTCTGAAACCAAATCCAAATCCACAAGTTAAGAATTGATACATTGCCCGGATGCACAATCAACTGCTGTGATTAAATTAAAGGAGTCTGGAACTGTGACATGGGTATCACTTCCTGCAGGTTAAAACCACATGCTCTGGGGAGACTTGGTTTGGGATCAGGCCGAGAACGTTTTGAAATCAATCAATCAATCAATCAATTCAGCGCTACGAAAGAGACATTTTGACAGGTTCCACCGACTGCCAAATAAGCATAAGGGACGATGTTAGATTCTCAGAAATTCACCAGAAATTTATTATTATATTGGTTTATTAAAATACTGGGTCGGCAGCAAGGAAGTATCCGGAATAACCAGTTTACAATAAAACTGTTAAAAATTTTAAAATTCATTAAATATTAACATTTACAGAAAAATAGATCTTTAAAAGTCATTATGAAGAATATTAAAATCAAATATAACACGATAAATAGATCTTTAAAAATAACAACACAAAATTAAAACAAAATTAAAACAGAAAATGCAATGATAAAATCAAATCTATAACACGTTGTTGCAAGTTATCCATGTCACAAAGGAACTTAGAGAAAGATATTTGCGGCTGTCCTGATCATACGATGAGTTATACTGTCACAACACATTGATAAATTCTCGACTACCAGAGATTAATAAACTGAGATAGGAAACTGCTAGAATAAATATTGATCTTGCACTTGCATATTGTAGTTACCTTATAAAGACAACCATCGAAATCACCTATGCCGGTGACATCAAAGGGAACTTCCGTCTTGTTGGTTGTGTAACCGAGCAACGTATTGCAAGTGCACGTGATGGTTATCGTGAGTGGGCCATCTGCATGGCCGACTTGATAACCTTTATGATTCAATCATAAGGATTGTAAATGAAGTATTCCCACACTGCCGGCCACCTCGCCTTTGAGACATTTATGTATCTTGTCTCCAAATGACGTGATTCGGTGGCTTCCTTTTTCAAATGATTCGACTTCCTCGTTTAGGGCACAGAACGCGTTCAATGCAGACATGTATTTAATCATCAGTTGGCAATGTTATTATTACGTTTTATTTTTATTGTAATTCGTAAGGGTACGGATTAAAAAGATTGTTATCGAAACTTGTACCTCTATTCTCTAATCGCATCAGTATTTATTGTGTGAAAGGAATGTATCATTGGTGTCAACGTCAGGGTGGAGATGAAAGGTTCCGGACCTGTAATATTTAACGTCAGAGAATTATCGTCATTTTTGACAAAAGTGGGATCTTTCTGCTGGGTGTATACCTAAATTATTCTCCCTCTTGGCATTAGAGCAAAGACCAACCGGCTTGAGCGTTCACTCAGTCACTGCGGAGTGGCCTCAGGGGACAGATGGGGTGAAGAGACCCGTGTCGTGTCACGGTCGCTACGCGGCAAATGGCACCGTTTCGGTGAAAGCCTACAAAGTACACTGATGATGAAATGGAAGCTGATACGTTCCGGTCTTTCTGTTAGTGAGAAAGTGATGCATAATAACGGCACAAAGCACTTCAGGTACACGTACAACTAATACTGACAACAACAAAACTACTTCCAACCTTAAAAACCCGTCACGCTCTCTAAAACGCTCATCCTAAAAATTCCAGTACATGTACATTCAAAGTTCACAGGTGCATATTTTTCAACAATGACGTTCGTGGTTACAAACAGAAAGATAGTTCAATAAATAAACAAAGGACATATTCTGGCATTGTTTCCTCGTTGATTATGACTCTGTTAGCCGTTCGATATCACTTTCTTCTCGTGTACGGTACCCTGGCATAAGGAAACAGTCCGAGGAAACTGGTATGGGCTATGACAGCTTCCGTATATACACAACGTTAAACAAACACGGAACTTGAACTTGTACTCCTTTGAGTCTAATGTTACACGGTTCACCACAGTCAGAGGTATAAACATGATTAAATGTTGCCTCCAGTAAACTCCGACGCATTGGTTTGTATTGGAATTAGAGATTAGGCCCGCTGGTGTAATTTTGGACATAGTTGTTACCAAAAATACATTCTTTGAAAAAGGGCAAATCAAGGACCAACTTTTCGGGGCAACCCCAAATTGAGCCAATTTTTTATGGCCTTTCCGAGTAGTAAATCTAAATTTTGGGCGGTTTTAGTCTTTAGGTAAGAAAGGAAATGAAATTGTCCTTTTGGACTTTATCCAAACGTCCTTTTTAAATTTACTCCGCCTTCAAACTTTTGCTTCTTTTTCGGGGGCATGGCCCTGTCCCCCCCCGCTCATTCAACAATGACTTTGAAGAGTGGTCGTGTAAATTACCGAATTTCATCCGACCCATTGGGTTCACAGGATATGCCAGAGATCATTGAAAGTTTTTTTTTTTGGGGGGGGGGGCGTTGAATTTTTTGTGGGGCGATGGTTCCAAGGTTCCCCAAAGCATGAAGGAAAAGTCAATGACCAGATTAAGTAAAGCTGAAAACTTACAGTAACAGATTTTCCTATCCTCTGAAAACTATGTATAGGTCTAGTTATGAATCTACAATACATATGCCTAAAGGCTAATCTTTCCACACGAGCACTTACCGCACAATACTCCTGTGGGTCGCACTTCCGTGTGCGTAGAAGCCACAAACCAAACGCAACGTGGTGGTTATTGCGTCCATTTACGTAGGCCTATTTCGAGTTCGACAACTCGTTTCTTTTTTTTTCATCACATAACATTCTTACAACGTCTTTATGGTAACCATTGTTTATTTTGTAACCAATTATTGGTCGTCAAACTTGGAGTTTTTAATTCAGTGTAGTTTTTGAAATGTAATTTAACTTTTGCTCAGAATTTTTATGGCAACCAGAAATGTAGTTCGTTTCTGTTAAACTCCCACGGCTTCTTTCTAGTTTGGGAAATAATTTGGTTTGTAAACCGAATTAGCACTTGTTAGTGGTCGGAATGCCACAGTATTCTGGGCTTGTCAATTTACTCTTTCCACACTGTGTAACAGGGCAAAGCCTGTTATAAACTATATTCAAGAATTTGTATTTCCCAAACTTAGTGGTTTAATATGTGTACATTTTGTCCACTCCTGTGAAGAGTTTGCTCATTCTCCTGATCAACATTTGGACAAGAATATAAGAGACAGTAGCTCCCTATTTTGGAAAAGAGGTGATAGGCCTTCTTCCATATGTCGAACGAATGGTTATATTCAACTTATCACGTGTTCAAAAACTTGAGACCACCACCAAATTGAACGAAGTTCATTGAACTTACACATTCGTGTGTTTTTTATTTGCACAGGCAAGCTGGCAACTTGTGGCATGCGACCCAACTATAAGAAAGAGCCAATAAGGTCTCGGACGAATTTTGTCCGTGTGGTGGCTGGAATGGAGTCTAGCAATCGCTGGCCGTGGCAGGTTGCTCTTGTCGATAAGATTTCTAAGGATCCATTCTGCGGAGGAACACTGATCGGCAGAGAACACATAGTAACAGCAGCACATTGCTTCGATGGAAAGTAAGAATATCTCCCGCCCTTTTCACTCTGGTTGACCTGTGTAGATTAAACATTCCCCTCATCAACTCTCTATCAGTCACCTTTCCTGTTTACCTTTCGTGCCAACAGTATTTTTCAAGTCATCAAAACTAGCCAACAAAAATAGTAGATAGTAGCCTATAGCCCAAAAGTATCGATTTCAGGTAACAGACTGTTGTTACTTCCATTGGAAATGCTTATTGCAATTACCCCCATCAATGTTCAAACAGTATTAAGGCACATGGCATATATTTCCTGCCCGAATTCTGTAAGAATGTTTCCATTACAAGCCAGACAGCATAAAATACTCACGACGCCCTCTATGTCACGATGCACAAATTTGGACATTCTAAACCTTCCATCGGACAAACAGTTTGTACGTTGCGACTTCAGTCGTTGTAATACTATAAAACATTGCCTGGACATAACAATTTTTATCTGTCCACCTTATTTCAGGAACCAAAACGATATCGTCATAGTCCTGGGGGAGCACGACCGGTCGAGACCGGAAGGCACTGAGCAAGAATTCCCAGTGGATTGCATCCACATCCACCGCCGATACGTCAAAGATGTCCCCTACAACAACGACATCGCCGTGGTCAAGCTCAAGGTGGCTCCTGGTAACGATGTCATCATCGATGACTTCGTGATGCCTGCCTGTATGCCGGAAAAGAATGAATTCAGAGCGGGTGATAGCTGTTACGTCACAGGATGGGGTTATACAAGTAAGAGCATATGTTTCATGCTTGTCAAGTTTGCTTTTAATGTAAACAGTCGTTCTGGAATGGGTAAGGTGCTGTTGCTGCCCCACTTAGTTCCTCCATTAATGAAACTTGGAGTCCATGACGACGTATACTTTCCTCAGTGCTGGATTTCGGAAATGATAGCAAGAAACTACGTTAATCAATAGTCAGAATGATCATAATCGTTCGTAAAGCCCTGGCTCTGTCAGTTAGTCAGAAACTAGTGGCATAGTGTTCAGCTTTGAAAGTTTAAGCCAAAACCTTTTGGATAAAAGATAAGCCGCTCTTACTTGTTTCCTGTGCCTTTCTGTGCAGATTTCGCCGACCTTCTCGTCGGCAAGAAACCACAGGTGCTGAATGAAGCCAAAGTCCCAATCCTCAGCAACAACGACTGCACACAAGCCTACGGCAGTTACATCTCCAAAAAGATGATCTGTGCGGGCTACCTGGAAGGGGAACGGCGAGCAGACACATGCAAGGGCGATAGCGGCGGGCCGTTGATTTGTCAGAGTGGGGGAGTGTGGAAGCTTTTCGGGGTGACGTCGTGGGGGGATAACACATTCTGTAACCCTTCTCCAACCGACGCAGTGCCTGGGGTGTACACAAGGGTGGACAGATACCGAAGCTGGATTAAGAGTAAAATGGAAATGGACAACTGTCCTTCTAAAAGATGACTTTAATCAACCATTTAGATTATGGACAATGATAAACAAAATGGCCCAACACTTACAGTGTAGGCCCTACTCAGTTTGCTAATTTGTGTATGATGGAAAAGCTATTTATTAATATGTAAGAGTTATGTATTGAGAAACACCTATTTATATACATAATTTTTATGTGACATTTTAAAAAAGGAAGAATATTATTTTATGCGATGCATACTTGTTTGAAACAAATTATGCCGAAGTATTTAAAACTGATTTTACTACTTGAAAATTTATTTATTCCATAAAGAAAACGAGAACCTGTATTTAAGCTTGCTAACTTAACTTATTCATTAAGTGTACGTGTATTCGACATTATTTATTTTAACTCATGAGAGGGTTGAACTTAAACGTGCAATACTATTTAAAAAAAAACAGCACAAGTATTCTTTAATCCTCTCCCAAAAGAGTGGATAAAATTTAATGTAGGCCTAGTAAATGAACACAAAATAAGTTATTTATTATTCAATATACAAAGAAAAAAAGGAGATTTTGCCTTTTTACACAAACTCAAGAATCATATCCCTACCATCAAACTTGTCCTGGTGATCGTTAATTTTGATCAAAACTCTCGGCAATTTTTAACAAATTCAGAGCAGAAATGCTGCCATTTCCATTTAAATGAATAAAACAGTTAAGTTCTGTGTTAGATTTTCTTATTAGGAAACTAAACGATTGTAATGCAAATGTCGGTTTGGTATGTCAACTCAACATAAACGTGGAACATGACGGTGTAAACAGACGGCAAGTCGGCACGGACAGAGGAGGATTTGGTGGTATGGATACATTTGCGTGTCAAGTTGGGACAGAGGAAACAAGTTGATCTTTGGGTTGATTTATATTTTCACTTTTACATATTATCTTAAAATAAAACATCTCAGGAAATGACCAGGAATTGCGACCAATTTTCTGGGTATTTGCCTTTTTCAGAGCAAGTGGATGTGGTCTCTATCTTTGTGTATTTTACTTACCCCCCTCCACACACCCGGTTCAGAAAAAAATTCTATTTTTTTTCGTTCCAAGTAAAAGCCCTGGCTCGCCTGCCAAATTAGCTGTTGTTTCCAAAAGGTGATTTCTTATTGTATGCTTTTGAGAAAAACACTGAACGGGAGAACATTGTGCATATTACATTTTAGCCTTTTCAAGCATCCTTTTTGTCTAGAAATTAAATTAGCTACAAGGTAGTATATTAATGTCCCTTTCTCCAAAGCCCATAGAACACAGCCCACATCTTCCCGAAAACTCACAATCAATTTACATTAGTGACAAAATGATATCAGCTGTCGCAGAAATTTTGTTCATCGATCACCCACAAGACTAGTGCTCTTGTTCCCTGGCGACGAAAAGCTGTTCAAGCAAACCGGGCGCATAACGGCCCAACGTTTTATTATTCGATATGTCAATAAATGTGGTTTGGTAAGTAAAAAGTCCCATTGGCGACAGCAGACACTGGATTCTAAGTCTACGGTTTGGAAGGGTTTTACAGACCAATCGCGGAACTGAGAGAAGAAACGGGTTCGTTCTTTGAACAGCGGGACAATGGGAGCCGGAAGCCGACAGACAATAGGCGGGTTTTGGGGGCGATTACAAGCCACCCGTTTACGGTACAGTAATTCGTTTGTCCTCGGCAAACGAAAGATCAAAAATGATCCAAGGAATTTTGAATCCAGCATGATCAAGTCGTGAACGAATTGTGCCGGTAAAACACTGCGTGTAGTGTATTCACAACGGGGCGCGTTTACTAATGGTGACGTCATCACGAATGATATTACAGTGACTGAAAGGTGATCGGTAATATTTTTTGTTTCAATAGAAGTCAGTGGGACCAGCCAGTTAACTGAGGACGCACGTGCACTTTGGACCGTGGAGCATATAGCTAACATTACTACGCTGTGAGGAATTATTGTTTGGATTTGGCACATTTCATCGATTTCTCGAGTTGGATTTTGAAAGATGTTTGGTGAATGCAGGGGATTTTCCAGTTTGATTTTGTGCTGTTTCGTCGCAGAAATTTGTTTGGCAGCATCAAGTACAGCGTCGGTCAAACGTAACACAAACAGGAATTTCCCGAGCAAAACAAAGGTAGGTTTTTTCCAGAGTCGTCATTCATAGAGTAACAGCATACCTTTATGAAATTTAATTTGCACAAAGGCGTTAATAAAAAAAAATCGAAACAGGGAACACGATGTCCAAAGCATGTTGAAGATAAGTATTTTGTGCCAAGCCCATAAATGCTGTGGCCTATGGAAAATAATGTGGCCGAACCCGTACATACAGTACCAATACATTTTTGTTTCGACTGACATAGATGAGACACACCACACATACCAGAGAATTAGTAGCGCCTGAAGGTGACACGATACCAATACCATCACTGCAGGAGGCGGGGACTCTACCTCCAACGAGCTTAGGAGAGGTAGAAGAATTAGATGACACCCAGCAACATTCTCAAAGACGATTACCCATCGGTGAGAAAACATCAATGTCACCTCTCACCCCCTTACTGCTTGTTGGAAGCAGTTTAGCTAAACCAGACTTCATCTGAATGTTAATATCTTGAATTGAAATATTTGATTCAGGAAACTTAGTAGAGCCGTGGCCCTTTTTTATCAATTTGAATAACCACTTTTGAGTATTAAGTTAACGTGTGTGTCACCTAGGCGGCTTGCAGGGATGCGGCACAATTATGTAAGTTGATTTATCAACGACATCAGAACAATTAATCTCCACAAAGCCCCTACTCACCTATTTTAAATTGTGGGAGCTTGAGCACGGATGAAAACAGACCAAAGAAAAACGATATTGGGTGTCAACATCTTTGCTGAAACTTGAGTATGCCTTGGAATCAGTAACAAAAATTGCTCTGGATTATTATCAATACATCTTAGCAAATGTACAATTTACAACAATGATTGAAATATGAAGATCGTGTGAGCCACAAAATTTCATATGATTTTTTTTTGTCAGGAAATGCTAACAAATTAACTACCATTTTGGCAGCATAATTTCATTGGCACCGAATTTACCGGACTGATCCTAAGGATAGTTGCGTCCCATAATTCCCAAAATATTTCGTAACATGACTACAACTCCGCTGATGCAAGCCAGTCTGTCTCATGAGCATTTTTAAATTGTTAGTGGTACAAAATACAAGATATTTAAAATAATTTCTAGCCACAGGTTTTGAAAATGAAACTCCTTAGAACCATTTGTTGACAAGGGGCAACGAAACAGCCCCACCAACGAAGAGTCGGTGAAACTTGTGCCAATATACAATATTCAAACTGTGTCTTTTTCTTCGGAATTCCCGAAATTTCACTCGCAAAAAAAGCAATGTAAAATTTCTCAAGTTCACTCTAGAATTCCATTAATGTCCTACGTCATGAACTTCACATGGCCTCTGCTTTAACGATAGGAAAAAAGACCTGAATTTGGTTGAAAACATTTGAGTTGCAGCCTTGGATTAGTTCTAAACTTCGAAAGCGATTGTTCACGCAAGATTAGCCTGGGACCGCAGTTGACCGAATGACGCGGTGGCAAGGTCGTTCTCTCCCAAGCACTACTATGTCCTCTTCCCCGATTCAGACTGACACCTGTCGCCGTGAGACCAGATTAACCCTGAAAGCTACATATAAACGACAATTAATTAAAAATGTCCAATCGTGAGTCGGTGAGGGGTGACAGGTTCAACTCGAAGGTGGTGGTATTTATAGATTAAGGTTCGGGAATTCTCGGAAGGTCGAAAAAAAACTTCGACTCCCTTTAGTTCCGGTTTTCGGCCAACAAAGCCCAGATGCAATGCACGCGTAGGTAGCCTTGCCCAACGAATGACAAATTATCCGCAAGGGGCAAAGGAGATTCCTTCAGATTTGCAAGAGCTCTAATAACGTACAATATTGGGTATAGAGAATTAAAGAATCTATGCGTCTGTACAGTCAAGACCAAGTGACATTATTTCAATGGTTATTTTTTTTCCTGGGAGGTGAAATACATATAGTTGTCTCTGAAAAAATACTACTTTCTACACAATGCACTCGCAATGAATCTTCACAATGAACATAATTTTAATGAACATAATTGGCTTTGCCGATGTGGACTTTGCAAAATTATTGTGAAAGCAAAAACATCCATTGTCTTGCGCTCTCAAATTTATGTAAACCATTGATAGAGTATCCTTTTCAAACAATTTGTTGGAAACATATTTTAAGTACAGTGTTTGAAAACAGTGAACAAAATAGTGTCGAGTCTTTTCTTTATGGCTGCCACGAATGTTTATTTCCAAACTGACGATAATTCTTGCAATTAATGAAGTGCTAATGCTACATTCAAATTTTCAAAAAATCTGCCCTAGCCGGGAATTAAATCCGGACCTAGAGCGTGGCAGGTCACTGTCCCCGCGTTACTTTACCTAAACTTTTATCTTTACAGAAACAGTAGTTTTGCCTTAAGATGAGATTTAGGCAGTTAGTAAATCCGTTATAAATCTCAAATATTTCAATATGGTGCTATTGTGATTTTTCATACCCATTCATAAAACAATTCATCCCAGATAATGTATATTGAACATGTTGAACCCACGTAAAATAAGGAGTGAATGCCTGCCTAGGCAGGGAATCGAATTCGGGCCTCCAGCATGGCAGGCAAGAATTCTATACGTGTACCACGGAACCACCAGTACACATGCCAAGGTTCAATGTTATTTTAATTTCAGCTTGAAAGACGAAAGTTCTATTTCAGTTTATAAAACTTAGAAGTTTACCTGGAGCAGTTGCGATGCTCAACAACATAAATCCCAGGGCATATTGTATAGTGCACACATTCAAGCCATCCGTAATATCAAAAGGAAACATAAATTTAAAAATCCTCATTTGCACTGACTGGGAATCGAACCCGGGCCTCCCGCGTGGCGGGTGAGAATTCTACTATTGAACCAACAGTGCACTTGAAATACCCATTTGCCATCCTGCTTCTCATATTTTACATTTGAGAGATTAAGATTAGCAAAGTTCCTTATATATGGTGATTTACTTTGGTATCTCGCTATTTAAATAAACATTTTCCATCTAATAGCTGGATTGACGAAGTGCGGGCGTCGGCCAACTAATCCCTACCGTCGAATTCGCAGAGTGGTCGGTGGTCTGACTGCCGGGACACGGTGGCCATGGCAGGCGCAAATCATCCGGCGGGATGCCTTCAATCAGGAGGTTCACCATTGTGGCGGGACGCTCATCGACACCATGCACGTACTGACGGCTGCCCACTGTTTTGATGGGTGCGTGTTTCACGAGGAGGGCTGGTAGGGGAATAGCGGCATGCGGGGGGGGGCATGTCAATGTACTAGAACTAAAAGGGAGCAGGTGACGAGGTTAGGACTGCATTTAAGATGGTCTTCACTTGTCTACCAATCATCTTTTTTACTTTTGATCTGCCAAAAAACCTGGTTTTAAAAGAAGGAAGCTACGTTTACGCATGGTTAGTTCTAGTCTAGACCAAAATACATGTGTAGCGGATAGAGGATTATTAATAATTATGACCAGAAACTTTTCTTAAGGAAACATCATCTGTACACGAAGGTACAACTGATCTTTGTATGAACAAGGGTACCAAAGCCTCACTTTCTAGCCTTTAGAGTGATCAACATCATTTATGAGACCTGGAAAATGCCACAGGGAATTTAAAACATGATCATTGATACATACTATGCAAAACTTCTCAAAAACATTCTGATGGAATTTCTTAATTCTGGGGCTAGTTAACTGTGGAATTCAGTTTTTCTTGATGGGTTCACTGATAAAGTATGATACTCCAAACCCAAAATCTCACGAGCTCCTCGAAGCAATACGTAAATACCTGTGACCTTTGTTTCTGTGTAACTGCAGTTATCACAAGAATGACTTCATCATCCGTCTCGGCCAGCATGACCGCTCTACCACAGAGCCTCAGGAGCAAGACTTTACCATCGGCTGTTTGGACATCCACACTAAGTACCGGATGCTGCGATCTGGCTATGGCTATGCTAACGACATTGCTCTGGTGACTTTACGAGGGAGGATCAAAGGCCACAAGGGGGCACTGTTTAATGATCATGTGCTACCGGCTTGCCTGCCCCAGCAGGAAGAGTTCAAGGCGGGAGACAACTGCTGGGTGACAGGCTGGGGACATTCCAGTAAGATGACATGCTTATTTTCACATTTTTTCCAAAATAAGGGATACAGCAAAACACAGAAAATCTAGGTTGTAAGCAAGATAAAAAGTCCAAGATACACAATACTGGTACAGACCCTTACATACTACCACAGCAGGAGCAAGAAAATTGTACAAATAATTGCAAGAAAGCATTAAATCAACATCATTCATTTTACATGTGATCACTCCATGTGCACAGATCAAATACATGTAGGAAGTTGTGTGCTACAGAGCACACCTTGCTTGCAGAACTTGATTAGATTGAAATCAAGCCCTGCAGCTCAGGTACGCCAGAAAGGGGTTCTCGTTGTGTACAAACATTGTTTGATACATGGATACATAAGAACGTGTATGAAAGTCGTGATGGATTTTCGTAATCACAGGACTATAAACGTTTATGTATACTGTCATCTTCTCTTGTCTATGTACTACAAAGTCTTGTATTTCACCTTGCCTACAGATTTCAGTGATCTTGTCTCCAGTTCCTTTCCTGACATGCTGAATGAGGCCCCCGTGCCACTCCAGCCACAGAAAACCTGCCGCGCCATCTACGGCCGCCAGATCTCCCGCAGGACAATCTGTGCTGGTCAGGTGGGGACCCGCAGCCCCAGGGCTGACACCTGCCGGGGAGACAGCGGGGGCCCACTGGTGTGCAAGCGCTATGGTGTGTGGAAGGTGTGGGGGATCACGTCCTGGGGTCTGGACTCACTGTGTAACGAGCGGCCTCCTGGGGGTGCTACCCCAGGCGTGTACACTCGGGTGGACCAGTACCTGAATTGGATCCAGCGGCGGATGGAAAGGCGGCGAAGGACACCAGTCTGCATCAACTGAGTTACTTATAGAAATGCAATAAGATTTCCTAAATAAATGCCGATCAGCTCAAGTGATTTCAGATAGGCAAAAATCATTCACAAATTTTAAATAATTTTTTTCAAAGCAAATTGCCCATGAACTTTGGATATTGTTGAACAAATGTAAACTTCTGTATTACAGCATACCAAGTTTAAATGCTGCACTGACTGAACTATCCTCAGGACTGGTGTTTTTAAGCAAATCTGTAAGGGTGTAATGAGATGAAGGAATGACATCATCATCAGAAACACGTCAGTATTATCTCAGAACCACTGCCAAGTTGAAATATGTATTTCCCTTTTGCTTCTTCAACTTCTCACAGATCAGCTATCTCCCCTTACAATCCCGTTTCCCATACAAATTTCATTTTGAAATTGAACTTTAAAAAAAATGTTACTTGGTGCTACTTTTAAACTGCAGCTTATGTTAAAATGTTAGTGAATAGTTTCTAACTCAGGACCCAATTTGAAATTGAATTTTGGTGCAAGTGCTGAACCACTACTTTAAGCCTCTGCCACATGGGATAAACAGAAAAAAAAGCTGTCTGCAACAGCACAGAAAGCATTCAGTGGTTTCAGCGTTTTCCAAGAATTACCTATATTGTATAAGTATTTATTCTTGTATTATTTATTGTGCTTGGTGTATTCATCCTGACCTGCTTCACTGGGGTCAGCAAGGTTAGCCTTCTGCCAGAGGGAACGGCTTACTTCTCTTCAAATGTTGTGACTTCACATTATGGCATTTTTCTTCATTTTCCGACTTAAAATACAGAATACATCAATACTTGTGAGTCTTTGAATGAAAAAATATGGCAATATGTTGACATTCTGGTTGAGTCTTCAGTGTTATTTTGCCATACTTACCAATTAAATTGTGAATACATTTGGAACTGAAAGATGATTTTGTGTGTTGTATTTTTACTTGTATGCGGTCTATTGCCCCAAAAAGTGTTTAATTAATGGCCGATGGTGCAGCTAAGACAAACTTCCAACCTGAGCAGCGTCTGCATACATCTGTTCCCTTCCACAGAGTTCCAGTTTCAGCCAGTGATTGACAGCCATTGTGTGAGACAAACTTCTCTCAATTCAAACATCACAAAGCAGTTACCATCATTACCCTGACTCTCCTGGATCGTTAAGAATCCATGAGGAGGAGTTCTGGAGGATTTAGCAGGATTGAAGAAGGCAAGACACCAACTTGTGATTTGTGTAAAGGTGAATGCCCCTCTAAAGTACAAAGAGTGTTCCTGGTAAAGATACCCTAGAAGACCAGCTCACTTGCACATAAACCCAAATTCCCTACACAGTTGTGGTTTCAACATTTCCCAACCCCACTGAAATTCAACAGACTGCTGCAGAACAGCGACACATTTTCAGAGCTTAGACATCAGAAAAGATAGTGGCTTTCAGAGTTCTCCATCAAATACCAACTGCAAAATATGCAGTGGATATCGGACATAAATATGAAATATATGGGAGTAGATACTGATGTAATTATTAAGTGTAATTATTACCTTCATGATGTGTCGGACTTTAAGTGGCGATGGAGGGACCACAAAGAATATATTAACCCCAACACTCCTCAGTCCTCCAACAGGTGAAGGATTGAGGAGTGTTAGGGTTAATGAACGTGTACTCACTTTCTTTGGTATACATACATGTACATGCAAATGAAACAAATGAGGAACGACAAGCATCCACCAGGGACATGCCACTGCCGACAAGTGGTATGGGTCAAATGCTAAGCGACAAAGTGCCCTTTCTTGTTCAACACAAAGCCCCTAGCTGGATGTCTCTCACATGCACTATCAGTAATCAGTATGGTCATGTCAACTGTAACCCATTCTAATACAGACACTATATGGGTCATGCAGTAAGCAATCCAACAATACTCATGAAAAAGGTGACACATACCAATTTTTGTATCGTTTCCTGTGCATTTTATTGGTCAAAATCACAGAACATACTACTTGCTTTGTACAGTACTTTGGCTGCATTGGACAACAGCCTTTGGATTAATGGCGCCCTTTACAGACGACGACCGCGGCGACCACCCTTTCTCCGTGTGCTGTCTGATGGGATTGGGGTCACATCCTCTGTTGTGCGGGAAAATATGAGAAAGGGCAGAGAGGTTAGGACATAAATATTCCTCTAAAAAAAGAAAAATAAACCAGCACTGCTACACTGACTCCCAAGACAACCTTTGCCTTTGTCAAGAAAAAGCATTTTCCATGTAACAAATTTCTTACAACTGCAGACCTTGAAATATATTCACATAATGCCACAAATTTTGAGAAATATCCATTCCATTCAAACTGGCAACGACCAAAGAAGAAACAGGATTGGAATTTTAAAATCAGCATCAACAGTTTTGACTAACGAGAAGGTGCAGTGTGTGTCAGCACAGTGTGTCAAGAAACCTTTGCAACGTACTGAGTTTGCTACGACTTGGTGTGTGCACAAAGTGTGATGTACGGTAAGGCAATCTGCCCTTATAATGCGATGCCTTTTAGTACAAATAAATATAGCTACAGGCGTGGAACTTAAACTTTGACAAAAGACAAGGAAACAGCATTTTGTAATTTTCAGCGGCATGAGTCTGAAGTGAAAAACAAGGAAATCAGCTGATCCCAGGAAAAGTTGCATCCCTTGGGCTATGCTCTTTTGTCATACTTGGCAGGCTGAAACTGGGTAAGAAGTAAATGAACTGGATTTCTGCTAGGAAATTTATACAGTAAACTCTGGCTAAGTCGGCACTCTTGGGACTCAAGAAATTATGACAACTTCCACAAATGCCAGCTTGTGTTGTAAGTCGTCATTTTGCTGACTTACACGTACACATGTATTTCCTATGTACATTATGATTCCTTGCACTAATTCAATGGCTTTGATTTACACTAGTTTATTTTTGCCTCCATGGTCGATCCCAGCAAATTCATTCTCGATTATCATTTTGCAAATTCAATAATTGATCATGTGCCCCTAAGGACGAAGCAAGGACAGCAAGCCACTTGCATATCACATCACCACTCGACAGTGCAGTACGTATATACATGTACTTATACATGTACGTGATACATCCATGGTAAAACATTCACTCATCCACACACGTGCATTGGTTACATATAAGTTCCTTCCATGTAGTCTGGCTACCAGACTCGATTCCGACTACCTCAAGAATCATTATCAAGGGTCGTCTGGGAATCTTTGGGCAGGGAACCAGACTACGTTCAATAAGGCGACCCCCAAAATGGACGGAGTGCATGCGTATAGCACTAGAGGGGTTACTGGTATTGATGTACTAATGCTGCCTGGGCGCGCACAGAACTTGTCACTTGACACTTCTTGGTAACCGCGGCGAAGGAAACTGATACCGAAGCACGATTTTTTTTAATGCCAACTTACACAAAGGAATTTTTGTGGTTTTGTGGAAAAGGGACCGAGAAAAACATGCCGACATATACGAAATGACAACTTATAAATGCCGACGGTTATAAATATAGACGGTTGTGACTTTTGTCTAATGGCTGACTTGGACGATATGACGGGTTATGCGATGTCGACTTAGTTGGAGTTTACTGTATGAAGCGTGTAGAGGGTACTATTGCTCCTAAACTGCAATAGTAGATTCTAAATTGAGATGCCTGAGGATTTTATATGTACACCTTGTGCTACAGCTGAACTGATGAACCGAACTAAAAATAATCGAACATGGCACTTTTGAACAAAACTGAACTGAGCCAAACTAGTCGGTTCGGATGTTGGGCTTTAATTTGGCATGCCACTGATAGCAAACGGAATGCACGCAAGAAAACTTATGTGGGTGTACACACACATGTACTCTACATATACAGTTAACTTACAATGGCCCTGTGGTATCACACGATGGTTGTAAAATGCATGTGGTGAGAATTCATTAATAATCAACCGAGAGTATGCAAGGTACGGCATTTCCGCTGCATACATGTAGCAATTCTAAATTCTAACTACGTCCAATTGTGCTTATGTATATTCAGACATTATGTATGTCAATCTCCAATAACCATGCCTTTACATTCCACATTTTGGCCTTTGTCATAAATGGCTGTGTAAAACAAATTTTGATTGGATGCTGATCATAGTTGGACTCGTGCTCAATGCAAGTCCGGAGTAAAAGCCAATTTTGCTGGGTGGAGCAGCACTCAAGTGCAATCCAGATTTGGTGTGTGCGTTGGCCAAAATACACTTGCCTTTCATTAGGTCAGAGTTGTATGCATACGTTGTAATAGAATTTTGCAGATTTCTAAGTTGTTTGCAAATCTCAAATAACAAAATGCTGTTATCTGTTCAAAAAAATAAAAATTCTTTTGGGGGGAAAATCACCCCTTTGGCCATTGGCCACGTGGGAGCCGTCACGGGGAAGAATGCTGACTTGATACTAAGGTTCTTTGAAGATTATATCGAATGCATAGTATGGTACACGTAGCTGAATCTGTTTTGTGAAAAATAACTAAAAAACACAATTTGCTCAAAATCTTATTTGATCTTGTATCCTGTTAAGTAGGGAACTCCCATTTGAGCATGCTGGTTTTTCTGTTTTTCATATATCCTACGATTGTTTTGTTGAGTCAAACGTGGTCCAAACACAACTGCTTTTGGTTGGCAAAACACGGTCGGAAAATGTTGCACCTTAACCCTAACCCCCTAGGCCTTTTTACTAGGAACCATCCTGAATCCTCCGAAATCCTCCGATTTTCAACATGAAAAAATTGCATTCAGCCCAATTCTCCACAATCCTCCAAAATTTCTTGAATATGTCATTTGGAGGTGTGCCTCACTGCCCAAATCCTTCAAAATCCTCCGGCAATTCCTGTCATTATGTTGAGGCAGTGTGAATGGCACTCTCGAGCAAGCCGGTTGATACGAAAGAAATATTGGGCTGCATTTGTGTTTGACTAAGCACAGACAACATAAGGTCTAATTCATCCAAGACCTTCATGTATGGCATCCTTCGAATCAGCCATGCACTTTGGCCATACACCCTGTATCCTCCAAATTCCTCCACTTTGCAGAAAAGGATTTTGGAGGATTTGGGAGGGTTAAGGTTAACAGGTAACATTCTATGGAATTATAACTCCTAAATAAACTTTGGGGTCACAGTTTAGAAAAAAAATTGTTGAAATTGAAGTTGCTCGTGGATGGGGGATGGAGGAGATTCATTACTTGTATGAATTATTTTATACATGGACGTGCTGTGGCACGTTCATAGCAAGCTCTCAGATGCCTCAATGTGTACATCGACCACTGTACATGTACCTATATATGTGTACATGTCCGAACCTGAACAAAACTGAAGTTCAGCAAAAACTTTCCTAACCATGTCCAAAATGAACCTGAATCAAACCTTGACACTTACTTCCAGCACTATGTACACCACTGTACACTGAAAATGAATGGAGACTAAAACCAAAGTATTCCCTTTTTACTGATATCATGTAACATATTTTCAGTGACTTATTTATTTATAAAAAAAAAATTGGGGGAGGGAGGTCTCAAGATTCGCGACTCTGAAGATTTCTCTCAAGACAGAAAACTTTAAATTCAAAGAAATGTGATCACACTGTTAACTGCCAAGGTGGTGACAATAGTGTACTCACCAATGCGGCCAATCTTCATGCCTGAGCGAGCCAAGGCTCTCAGGGCAGACTGAGCACCAGGTCCTGGGGTCTTGGTCCTATAGAAAAAGATTAAACATGTCAGTGTTCGGACACCTCGGTTCTAGCCCTATGTAATGAAAAGGAAGGGACAAAAAATTCCCCTTATTGAATTCCTACTGACAGAGTAAAACGAGTTCTGGAATTAAGTGGGCTGTTTTTCGGAACTCAAAATGCCAAACGGTTTAAAATAACTCTCCTTGGAAAACTTACTTGTTTCCGCCAGTAGCACGGAGTTTGATGTGCAGGGCGGTGATGCCAAGCTCCTTGCAGCGAGCGGCGACATCTTGAGCAGCCAACATGGCAGCGTACGGGGAGGCCTCATCACGATCTGCCTTGACCTTCATGCCACCTGTTACACGGGAGATGGTCTCTCTGGAGAGGAAGAATGATGAAAAGAATAAGAGTATTATTTCCCTGATGAAGGAATAGAACTTGCAGCGTTAAAATCCATAAAAAGTCACATGGATGTGGCACGCGCAAGGTGCACTGCACTGATTGTTCGGATAAGTCAGGTGAGACGTATTACAGGACATACACAAGATTACATGGTAAGTTTCTGGTAATACACAGGCGTGTCAAAATTGCTATTTTTCAAAATGGCATGTCAAAATTGCTATATAAATTTTAGGGGCAAAATTGGAATGGCAGAAATGAAGTTAAAAACCAGAAATTTTCCCCAAGTATCGGGAGGGATGTTGTTGTTGTTGTTGTAGTAGAATTAATGGCATGTACGGCATACGCTAGTGCCCTTTATGCCATTAGCAAAAGGTCGCTTGGCCATGTGGTAGTACGGCTAGAAATTCAAATAGCTAAAGACACTTGATCAGACGGTAAAGAGTGGATATTATGAGAGCCGGGAGGAAAAAGAAGAGGACATTAAAAATTGCTTCAACAGAACAGCATTAACATGTGCAAGAGAAGAGGTAAACGCCAATGATCCTCCGAACATGCAATGTCGCTGGTGCCCTGCAAGGTCGGACCGTGTACCATGCAATTTAAGGGCCCGGGCCCCGCCGGGTTCTTCGCAGGTCCGCAACACCTTCAGGAGGTCTGTGATTTTCCTAGTGCAGTGTTGTCACCTGCTCATCTATGGTGTATTCTATCAACGTCCATTTCTGCAGATTTGCACCTTCAAGATTGGCCTTGTCAAAGATTGTACCCGAGTGAGAGCTTCTTTGGACAATTATACACTGTGCTGCACTGACATTATAACAAAGGTTATGTCTAAAAATTGTTTGAAATCTTGTACAAAACGATGCACATAATGCACTGCGCGATAATGCATGCTCCATGCCAGTTGTCGCGAAGCCCTTTATCGGCAAAAGTGAAAATTTCCTAACTTTATTTCAAGCTGCAACTTCACAGCGAAATGTGTGCTGCCATGAGTTAAAGTGATAGTGGAGACTGGATTGTTAGTCACTACTTCCACTGACGCACAAACAGCTCTAATGAACCCCATCAACACATATATGAATATTGATATTTCATTGGCAGCCAATCACAACACAATGATTGGGTGGTTCCCAGGATGCTGTTTACACACAAGGTTTACACTTCGTGAGGCGCTGAAAAACGCCCGCACGTACATTGTGTATGTACATGTATGTACATACCATGTCTGCATACAGAACATTCAGTCATGTGCATTAAGACAATCCAGAACTGTGTTTTCTTACCCTTTGGACTGGCTGTCGCGTTGGTTGAAAAAGGAAAAAACGGAAAAATCAGCGCTTGCTCAAGGAAGAAATATGAGGAAATCTGGCCCGTCGGTGGCAAAAAAGCAGAAACTAAAATTCGGCACACTCTACATAAAATGTGGAAATCCTCCAATACGTGGAAATTTCACACCCCTGTTGTTATGACGACAACATGGTGACTTCACCGGCTGTAAGTTGCTGAACAGGTATGAGTTCTCTCGTAAATAATTTTGTGAAATCTTATGTAACAAGATATATGAATCTTGCCCCTGGTACATATAAATGTATCTTGACATGTACCAAATGTAGAAAGTAACAAAACCACCAGCAGTCAGAGGTTCTGAATCCGGAAAAATCCTGAGATATCACAAACTTATTTCTCATGGACTCACAGAAAGAATGTTCCTAAATCCCCCCCCAATAAGCAAATGCAAGTGAGGGACCCTAAAGCAACATTTTTTGTACTTTAACCCCTTGACGACCCCAAAAGCCGACTCCAAGAATTCCAGCCTCACTTGGCCACGAAGGCCACCGGCCAAACCGCAAATTCTCGGTTTGTGGCCCTGCGTGCTCTGCAAGCTTTGAATTACACGGTGAAAAGACTGATTGTTCAGTGGCATGCGGCTCTACTCACCCTTCCACATTCCCGTTGCCTCTTTTCAAAGTGGGGACTATTGTGAAGCTGGTGATTATGATGCAAATTAGGTCCTTTCATTTCTGGGCTACGCACAAAGACCAATCACCATATATACAAGAGCCAGGGTTTGCCTTCTTTCACTGTGTTCACTCGAGCGTGGGCCGAGAATAATAGCTGAAAAGCGGGCTGAGGATCTCAATTTTTACGGCGTGTCTAGCCGCCTCCCGGCGCGAAGGGGTTATCAACTCCCAAGCATCAAGCCCTTACTAAATCCAGCAACATTCACCCAAATCTTCAGCTGTATTTCAACTGATTTGGAAGGGTTAACCCAGGATACTTCACAGAAGGGGGGGTCCTCATACTTTGCAACGAGGCCCATGTAACCAGATATATTTGCAGAGGCTGCACACATCAAAAAGTAAAGTAACAAACAAAGCAAACTAACCTTCCAGAAAGGTCGGTGACATGCACGAAGGTGTCATTGAAGGAGGCAAAGATGTGAGCCACCCCAAAGACATTCTCTCCCTCCGGAACCTGGGGCCCAAGATGCACCTGGACTTCTTCCTTCTGTACCTTGCCTTTACGAGGAGCCATGTCTGCAATAATTATAAACATCAAGATGAGAAAACATCCATGTCTGAAGTATGTATGGGCACCATATCAAAGCTCATAACTCTATCATTCGCCAGCATCAACCGATAATTGCATTGGACATCGGTCCGGGCCCATGTTTGGCAATATCGGCAAAACATCGGATCAGCAAAATGTGACCTTCTTGCCAATATGAGTGCCGATGTTAAAATGAACAAAGGAGCAAACTCTGCACTCAGTTTCGGCATGAATAAAAACTTTGGTTTTTTCATTTGGTGAGACTAATGAACAGTTATACCATGGTTAAACCCACACAAGTATCCCTGAAAAATATATCTGTGCAATCAGTGCTGCAACAACTCAATGTACGGAACACGGACTCAAGGAGCAGTCAGTGTACATGTTTCCATTTCCACTGACCTCTATAAAAAGAGTCAGGGAACTACACCGTGTGTGGTACCACCAGGTGCTGTGTGACCAGACTGAAGGTAACCCATGATTATTTAGCCTTTACTCAAGGAGCGCGCGTGGCTACCTGGACACATGATGCGCACCTCTGCCGTTGGCACAACAAAGACACCCAAGTGAGTAGCGAAGCATGGTACACTGGTGTCATGTGCACCTTGACTAAAGTTTGCCCGTGATTCAGCCTGGGGCGCTCTGTGTTTATTCTGCATATGTATGCACAGCGTGCGTTGGGTGTGAATACAACTGAGCACCATCGGTATCGTGCAAATGGCGATGTGATGTACCCAATAATTTATTCTCTCAACTCAGTTTAAAGGCAAAAAACTAATCCTATAACCGGTAATATGTAAACTGACATTTTAAATTTCAAAGGAGTGCACTGAGTTTGTGTTGTTAGGGGCAGGCCTACATCCTGTTAAGTTTGTGTTTTCAGTTATTGTTGGTAAAAACATCGGATCGGATATGACATCTGCCAATGTTCTAATTAAAACATCGGACATCTGATCAGGAGTTAAAACCTACGTCAGTTGATTCTGAAACCTGCAGACACTGACAATCATACATTCTTTTTGCTGAACTAGCATTCAATGTTAGTTTAAGACTGGCCAAACACACATTTATTTCCATTCATAAATACTTTTTTACTTAGCGAGTCCAACAATTTTGTTCTAGAATTTTACTTTCATTTTCCCGAACACCCCAGTCCACTTTACGGTATATTCCTTGTGCAAGTTGTCCAAAAGAATCTCCTTATATGGACTTGACGTGAAAGTGGCAAGGGGTACTGTGTGGAGTCCAGGGCCCCGGGAAAATTTTGATTCTAGATGCTCTGTGGTGCATTCCAAGGCAATTCCTGGCCACTTTCCCTCCACTTTTAAGAGCAAAAGTTTAAAATATTTTGTGAAGACTTTCCTTTATTTAACACATAATAATTCATTGCATTGCAAATTAATGTAAAAGATCAGCAGGCCTACAATTGAATAGAGCCTCATTCCTAAATTTTGTTTATCTTTATTGATAATTAAAAACACATGTTATACAGAGGAACTGCTGGCTGGTCAAGGTATTAAAATCAGACATTAACTCCTCAATTTTTCTTACTTCCATTTTCCATTAATTGATCCGAGGGGTTAATATGTGTCAAGAACAAAAAATCTTAAAGTTAAACTGTGATACGTCTGAAGTTTAATTGTGAAACATCATATGTACTTGCATAACCAAATGGATGAAAACATGCATGAAGTTCAACCATTATCCCCCCCCCCAAAGTAGAGTGCTTTAAAACACCCTGATCTAAAGTTAAAGACAGTGAGGTTGAGGCCAGGATTTCGCATACCCATTACAAATTTTGCACCAGCACTGTGGGGTGTGTACATGCCATGGCATATTGAAATATAAAAATGCACATGAACACAAAGGTATGACAAGGAACAACCGACTTCGATTTTAACTGCCGATCCAATGTCCAATGTTTTAATTAACCGGAACATTGGCCAACATATGATTGGATCCAATGATTTTACAGATATTAGAATGACCTTGAAAATGTAATCTTTTAATGATGTAGGCCTACTCCTAATGACACAAAAACAGTGTACATGTACTCCCTTAACCACATCAAGATGGGGGCATTTATGAATGTTAATTCTGCTGGGACGGGATATTTTTCATTTTTTTCTGTTTTCAAAATTCTTTAAAATTTCATATCTTCATTTACTGGACACTTACAGCCACACACTAAGGACTGTCTGGTTTCTACTCTAATCTGACAGACAACATCTATTGACGCTGGAGTATTTCAGCCAGGCCTGCCGCCTTGTAAAAAGAGCCCAGATTGTGCAGTGATACGTAATTTTCTTTTGTTCACGAAACTGGCACAACAGGGGCCAGATTAGCGTGCAGTGGTACTGTGTGGCTCATCGCTGTGGTGGTGGAACGCTTTTGTACCTGGTGATAATCCACTCACACTCAATGCCCCAACAGCGGTACACCGTTTCAAAAAAATGTTGGATTATCTCCACTGTTGATGGTGAAAAAATGTTGGTAATTCCCAGCAGCCTGGTCTTTTGTTACGAGTACAGTCTTTTGTTACAAGGCCCAGGTCCCTTTGTCTGATTTCAGAAACCCCGGATATGCATATAAAGAATACGTGCCCGAAAGCGGGCTCCCCAACAGTAAGTGGTTAACCCTAACTGCCCAAGCACTGTTTGTGGTATCCCTCCTTAATCACACAAACTCCAATACCTTGAAATCAACCCCTACCTAACAGTGCACAATCACAGAGACTTCACCAGTACTCTTGCTACAAGAGTACCCAATCAAAGCCGGCCCATTGCACAGTACAAAGAGTGTGGATAGGCAGTACAAAATCAAACAAACTCACATACCATCATGCTGCATATCCATCCCCAACTAATGGGATCATTGTGAGCTAATGGCATTTGTCCTTGTTACGGTAATTATTACATACATGTACCATCTTAATGGGAAGCTTTCAGTCATTACATTATCTTTAAGATACAGTACTCAATTAATGTAATTTCCACCCATCAGACTTAACGTATGAACTGGGGTGGTACTTGGTAAAAAGTGAGAGGGTCACAGTACCCATTCAGTCAAAATTCAACAGGGTAAGTACAGGCCTACAGTACCCATTTAGTCCAAATCCAATACCACATTGTAGCAAGTTCCCAGTACCTATTTCAACAAATTCAAATACCTTACTGGTGTTAAAGTTTGATGGTTAGGGATTGTTTGGGTTGAAGTATTATAGTAACAGATTACTAGTTAGGTTTTTGCCTTTTTTGTCACTGACTTTAGAGTATCACATTGCTGTTTGCGCTCACGACATGAGTTGCATTTTATTCTCATGGTTGTATTCACACCCACGCACACGGTGTACACACAGCTCGCCCATTAACATGTACAGTGTACAACTCTGCACAGTACCACAGGCTGAATCGCTGGCTACCTTCCGATCGCTCAGCACTGCATGGTACAAACGAGGGTGTATTTGGTTCCCAGACGAGCACAAACCAGTTAGGACCGTACTAAAGTAGATTGTCTTGGAGGGCGATTCGACTGCTCGGTAAGCAGGGCCTACTTTGTTAATATAGATTCGAGTCACCGCATGTTGCAACTGGACAATTTAGCCAAAAAAAATAATGCAGCCTTGATGCAAGAATCGAAACTGAAGTGTTTATGTTATTGTTTCTAGATTATTTCTGATGTAAATGTATGCACTAGAGTAAACAAACGTAAATGTGGCAGCATGACTTTTAAAGCTTGGCGGCAATTTCTCAGCGTGGCGGGCGCTGCAGAAAGCGTGGTGGGGCGCCACATTTTTTCTACATGTGGGAGCGGAGTGGACGTTGGACCCCACAGTTCTGGGTGTAGAAGAGCACTGCGCAACTCAAAATGCCCACAACACAACATCTGCTTCAGCTTACATGGCTTAGGCCTAACTTGAAGTTTTGAAAGGCCAATTCAAAAAGACTGCACCGAGTGCACTGTATACCGAGCGTGTAGCTGTGGGCCTAGGCTAGCCCCACTAGTGTGGCATGGACCCTCGCTCCCACTCCATCCTTAGCCACACACCCGTATATGCAATTTCGTGACGGCATGGTGAAATCTTGAGCGCACCCTCTTATAATCGTAGGCGCACGTCACGTCACAGAGAGCGATCCACGCTACCAATGATTTGCCGCAAGCTGTGTGTGACTGGACAGGGAACCAGCCAAGGGCGTTGCGTATTAGCTGCGACACAAAACAGCCGTGATTTTCCACAAGTACTTAGGGACTAGATCAACTTAGATCTCGCAGATCTGAATGAAATTCGTAAGTGCTGAAGTTTGGGTGCAAACTAGACAGGACTCGTATAGGGTACCATTACTTAACCGTAACAAAGCAGTCTGTGTAATGTACAAGTCAGGCCAAAATGGCATAAAAGGCCACATTTTTTCCTCCAAACGAGAAAAAGGCGGAAAGTTTACCCCGTAAGTATTGAACATATTGGGCGGATGTTTAGTTAGGCCTATACCCCCGGATATATCTTTTCGAAAGAAATCTCTATGAATCGGGAAAGGGCCCAGTATATGACTGACATGACGGAGGAGTATTCATTGGGCCCTGTTTACGGGTGTAGGGCTACATAAGTACATGTATGATGTAGCTACGCCTGCATCATTGCTAGCCCCACTCGTGCAGCACGGACTCTCACTCATGATTCTTGACCTTTCTGCTTTCTAAAAACCATTTACTGAATGATTTCACTCAAGTTCTTCAGGTATTTTCAAGTCTTTTTGCCTTTATCATTCAATCTACCAGGCTCTCTCTCACAGTCGCCATCTTTAAAATAAGGTTGTTGAACATTACATCACTTGATCCCTCAGTGTTTCGACGACGAGGGATCATGTCTTCCATGTCAAGACATCTAGCTGTCTGTGTATTACATACGAGGGGTCAAGTGACGTAATGTTCAAAGACCTTATTTTAAAGATGGCGACTGTGAGCCCGTTAGATCGAATGGATAAAGGCAAAAAGACTTGAAAATACCTGAATAACGTGAGTGAAATCATTAAATAAATGGTTTTTAGAAAGCGGAAAGGTCAAGAATCATGTTCGTGTGCAAAAGAAATTGCACCCACAATAAGTGGGTGCGCCGAAATATTCAATACGCCGACACGAAATTGCATATACGTGGCTAAAGATGGGTCGGGAGTGAGAGTCTGTGCCACACTACTGCGGCTACATCATTGCATGCTAGTAAAATCCGGAAACCTAGCCTAGCTAACTCTCGAATTTTTATCCATTCCCCTGTGGTTTGAGCTATCGAAAGTTTACTATATTACAATTCTCTGCCTCTTTAGCTGATTTAAAATGGATTCCGGAGGTGTTGACGGTATGTTGACGGTGATTAGTAAGACCTGATTTCACGGGACAGGAATTCACACCGCTGAATTGTACCCAGACGTCTACTTGTACTCGGGAGGCCTAAATTTTCCCAACACGGAAGACGAAATCATCACATTTTTCATTGTAAAAATTCAACAAGACTAAAATCACAAAAGCAATCAAATTGACTTTAAATTGTGCTGTACATAATACTCATGAAGAAGTGGGATCATTTACTAGATTATTCTGTTCTGTGGCACAGATTAAGACAGATTTTACAAATTCATTAAACTACCTCGGTCAAAGGAAACAGCGACCCGAATTAAAGAGGTCGAGGTAGGTCCTTGGTCGATCTAGCCTCGTCCAAAAAGTGTTCATTTACAGGGAAATAATATTACTTGTTTCTGTCACAGTTTCAGGCTTTCAAAATTTGTGGCAATGACATTTACTTATGTTATATATAAATATTTAAATGTTTTTATAAAACATTTAGTTGAGAACAGATTAAAAGAAGTCATTTAAACGATACAATGTCTTCTCATTGTTCAAGTCCATTTTGTCACGACTTTGGAGGCGGGGCATACGGGGAGCTGATGGGCATATTATAATATAACTGGTTCCCATTCCTTGTGCTAAGAACGTATGTAGTCCCCGATGGTTACCAGTCCATGTAAAGAGAGGTCAAGCGAAGTTCACTGACCTTGATTCGCCGGAAATAGTCGAGGTCTTCCGACCGCTCCCGATCAGAGCCATGTTGTTATTGTTTGGTACGGGTACGGGTACAGACGGACTGATTGTGTGGACAGCTGGAGCGAAACACTTAGAACAAAAAGACTCTTAGAAATTGTGCCAGAAATGGATGGGTGAACTAAATTCAGTCTTAGTTGTAAGTATGACACTTGAATATTTTTCTGTCAAATGGTTGCTGCGAACTTGGAGGAGAAAGAAGTGGCAAATTTAGTAGGTAAAAAAACAGGCGACAAAATTTGAAACTAAAGTAAAGTCTAAACTGAGACAAACGTTGTTTAGTTGGGCATGTTGGGTAGACGAGGTATCATCGGCACGACGAGTGATACTTACTAATACTAGTCACCCGTTTAATTGAGAATTTCAGCTTGTGCGTCGGTATTGATGATGTTGTTGATGATAACATGATTTAATGGTCCTCTTTTTTCTAATCTTTTTGTTGCCACATGTTATGGTAGGCCTACATGTTAATGGAAGTAGGTGAATCTTTGTTGGGGTTTGTTGATGCAAACAGTCATGACAGTTTACGAACAGTGATCACTCGTGTCAGTTTTGGTTGTGTCTACCCTCCAAAATAGTAAAAAAGGCTCTTTGTTCTGCATCATGGAGAAGCAGAACAAGGACACTTGAACAGGTCGGGGACCAAACCACAATCTAGTGACAATGCCAGACTATGCATACGCCACTCGTTTGTGCAACGATGACGTAATTTTGAACTTTTTTAGACCATGGTTCGCAGATGACATCAATCTCTTTATCGGCCAAAACCTTCAGTACAGATTGCTCTGGTTGATCCAATTTACAGGAAACCTGCTACCCTAGATCTGAATGAAACTTTCTTTTCATTTGGTATCTATAAAAGCGGATCAAGGAAATTTTTCGGTCGAATCTTGCACTGGATGTTTCAAATTAGGTAGGCAGGCGAGTCTGATTCTGCTGATGAAAATGTTTACGCCAAAAAATTAAGCTTTGCTGAAGTTTACGTTATGCATGAAAATGTTGCCATTAAAAATCTCCATTGATTCACAGTGGCAGATTTTATGTTTACTGTGGCAATTTTCCAAAATAGCGATCGGAAACAATTTGCCATAGACTCCATCAGCAACAGTAACGGCAACGGTGGCCATGTTAGCTGCTGGCATTTCAAATCTTGTTATTTTCCCAAAATCGTGCGGGAAAATTACATCATTATCACGTGACCTGATAAAAATGATATCATTGCCGTTTGGACAAGCAACACAAGCAGAAACTAGGGACGTCGCTGGATTGTGGTTTGGTCCCCGGCCTGATGAAGGAGCTCAATAAATATTTCTAGGGATAAGGTCATGAAGGTACCATGTAGTCCAAGTAACATGGATCTACATACATGTACAATAGCCTTTGATCAAGGCGCCCGCGGCAAAATGGATAGTCAAGACCACACGACGAACTGCATACAAGCCCGAAATTAACCATGCATGCGAATGCAGTAGCCGAGCTGTGTGTGTTGTGGACTGTGCGCGCCGCCGCAAGCGCCTTTGGAGCTTTGTTTCCAGTGGTTTATCTGAATTATTCAATATGCTAATGTTATGAATTATTCACATTTCTCTGAACCAATCGTGTTTTCGGGGCTAAGTAGTCCAAGCATGTCTAGGCTACTTACGTTCATGAAGCGGCTGCACAATGATGTGGCGTGGTATTTGAAACTGTTGCCATATCCATCCAGTTGGAAGATTGACAAATACGTCTTGACCCTCCAGAACAGCTTTCACGGCCAACATTTGCTGTGGTTTCAATTTGTCGATCGGACTCCCAAGCTTTGGTGTTGCATATTTGAGGCAATTCTGGAAGAGATTGTCGTTTAGAGTTTACACCACTGCCGGAAAGGATGCCGCATTGAATACACGCACTATTGTAATGATGAATAATTTATTACATGCACGACAGAGAGGATCGTTTTGATTGGTGGAGACTTATTCATAGGCATATATCGTATAAGAAAAACATAAGCTACATGGGGCAGAACTCCAAAGGCGTGCAGGGCGTGCGTGCTGTTTGTTGTGTAATCTTTCTTCGCACGTTGGTTTGGTGTTTAAACTAGTCTCCTCCAGCTCCTCCCTCTTTATTGACTATCCATTTCGCCGCGGGCGCCTTGATCCAAGGGTACATGTACATGCAGAACTGTAAGGTTTATGGACAAACTTACATAAACACATTTTGGCTGTTTTGATTCTACCAACTTGCTCTGCCATCAGAGCTACAGTATTTGTGCAACAAAATTTCATACATGTACATGCCTTCTTGCTGAAGTAATATTTCTGATGGGGAGGTTTATTTACCTATATATCCTCATTAAAATGGTGAAATTCTTGATCAGTTTGCCCATCCACACTACAGAAAATTGTGTTTTGAATTGTATTAAGTACATGTATCATGTTGATATTTCCCACTTCCACAAAGTTTATGATTTGGAATATGCTGTGAATGGTCACTTATGCATTTTTCTGTCAAGGCTGACTGTGAATAATGCCCTAGCTTTACAGTAGGGTTTCATTTTCGAGATAAATTGGGAAAGATCGGGCCTTGATTGATTCAGTTGGAAGTGATGGGATATGCAATTTAGTCACTCAGATCTTTAATGCTAACTCTGAGGTATCCTTGAATCCTGAATGTTGACCTTTATGAATGCTCCAGTATTAACCATCCTCCAGTATTAACCATCCTCTTTGCAGGGAACCAGCTGCATACTGTACTTTGTAATTTATCTTCCAGAAGCATCAGCCTTCACTGAAAGCAATAGTGTTACAGCCATATGTATCTTCCTCATTCTTTCACAATAGTCATTGCCTGGTAGACATCATTAAGGTTCTTGAAGAGTTCTGGTTGACTAATCACTGCAATGTCTCAGAATGTTGGTCGTTTTTATCATACATCACAGGTTGTTCTGGACTTCATGATAGTGCTTTCCTTTGATGTTGCGACATGGAGTACATGTATGACTGGGAAGAGCAAGATCGATTCTCGTTTGAAGACAGTGACCGATTTGAAGAGGATTCCCTGTGCTCATGGGTCAGTGAGGCAGAGAGTGTCAGCAACAACAATTGGCGGGGATGGAGGAAGGGAGGGACGACAGTCGGGTCAGGAGGGTCATCACAGAGCAGCCATTCCAATGAAGGTTTGTGGAAACCATTTTTCATACATGTACATGTAGGTAATCCGTCATTCTACCCAGGTGGCATTGTTTTTTGTTTACAGTAAAATATGAGCCATAAATACAATTTTATAAATCTGTTAGGATGCAAGCTCCATCATACAGAATGAGCAAAAAGAGTCCAGAAAATCCATCCCCCATGGTGGAAAACTCTGCCATCTTTCAAAACCAAAGGTCGCCTCATGCATTCAAAAAAATCCTGGAAGAGAAACCACTTTTTTTTCAACCTCTTCTTGCTGAACGTACATGTACATGTGTTATTCCACAATGTACTTGTAGCAGTACCAACATGCCAACAATGCCAACATTTTCAATGTACCACAGCCACTCTGTAGTCTTTACAAAGTTGGACCACACAAATGCTGACCTATGGTGGTTATTTGCTCAAGATTTATTGAGAGTGACTTGGAATTGCTATGGCTTTTATATCAATAATCTTGATCAGACAGTCGAAGTGATGTCAACACTGGATCATATGACACAGTTGAATGGTCCCAATTTAATCCAGAGTAAGATTCTGATGAATATCAGGCAGATGGCAGCGGTCATTTGCTGAGAATGACATCTACATGTACATGTAACTTACTTTACCCGTTTTTCTCCATTCTTGTGCCATAGAGCCCCCCAAGGTCAAGAACCTCTGGGGGAACGAGAGCCATATTATGACATCATCAAATTGTTAGATTTGTTTGCCGCCCTCATTGAACTTTTTTTGTATTCTGAGCATTCTCGAGGTGGCACTGAACTCAAATGACCATTCTTTTCATAAATGCAAAGAAAAGTTTCCACTGTAGTCATGATATGGGTAACAATGACCAATTCCCTGTTAAAGAACCATTTTATGTCAAAGCAATGTGATTGATCTTTAACTATGTTATTTGATACAAACTCTGCCAAATGAAACCCAGTCACTCCTGTTTTAGATGCATGTACATGTACCGTATTCTGCACATGTACATGTACATTACAGCGCTTACCCTTTGTCCCACTTTACCCAGCTGCATGCGTACACCTACATGTACCTCTTGGTTTACCCCAAAGACTACCTCAGACAGGAAGTGGCATGGAGCATTTTAATTTTTTTGTTACAGTGGGTCTTTCACCTTTGTTCCACTGAATCAGCTGGGTAGCCAGAATGTCTGGATTAGCAATGTTTTAGAGGACAGTGTTTTTTATTCTTATGCTGAAAATGTAATGAATGAATCTTATTAAGGTTTGGAATAAAAGATGTTAGCACTGGTTGTTGACAGTGTTTAACATCTTTTGTATAATGCAGACATGACTCATTATGTGGACAAAACATTCATTTAAATGTAGCTCCTCTAGAACAATGTACATAATTTATGTATTCGTACATGTATCATACATGTACATGTATGTACAGTGGATTCTCAGTACCTGTATACCTCTTTGTTTTCTAGTATTAAAAGTCTTCCAAAACATTTCTTAAATCCTTGATAAAATTCTTCCTTTTGAAATTCTCCTTCATTGTCCATTTTCCACATACACGTGTACCGGTACAGGTACATGTACTTTCTAAGTCATTAGCACTTTTGCACATTATGTATGTACATACATATACATGTAAGCGTGTCTGTTTTGACAATTTCAAAAAAATCTTTTGTGTAATGTACATGTACATGTACATGTGGTTCGTAATGTACACGTGTAGAGTGAATTGGAGTGAAGTTTTCTCTGCCATTTTGTTGTTTGCATTGTTTCTTTTGTTCATTTTTGTTCAAGTTGGAAAAAGCACGTGGTTGGATCATTGCCAACTGGCCGCAGTATAAGAACAATGAAGTGAACAGTATACGTGTACATGTAGATGATATTCAGATATCCTTTGTTAAAAATCTTGCATTTGATATTTGAGCACAGAAGGAGTCCATCTCATTACTCCCGTGACACCATAGAGCATAGAGTGTCCTTGCTCTATGGTGATACACATGTCCTTGTTTGCCTATTATTCAGCTGTTAAATAAATGAGGAAGTCATTAATTTGAATAAAGTAGCCTTGTTCCTGTGTCCTGACTACATTGTATGCATCCAGTTTGTTGAACAGTTCAAAAGAATGAGTCAGAAAATTGTCAAGTCAACTATCATTTAAATTGGAATTCTCAGAAAAATTACAAGGATTCCCAGCAGTACCAAGTACATGTAAGTTAAGCTGGGCTTTGCTCTGTGATATGCGTGATTAACCAGTCTTTTTCAGTTTACCCACAAACATAGAACTCTGTGGATGTCTGTTAGTGTTTGTGATTAAACATCCTCAATGAAATAAAGAAAGGGAGGGTTGTGAAACAGTGAATAAACCGCGGAAGTCTAAATGACTCAGCTGTGAAGTTTAAAGGAAAGCCACACAAATGAAGAAATGCATGTACAATAGGGGGTGCAGGTGTGGTTTGGGTGACAGTACATGTACATGTACCTGCTAAAAAAGGCCAGAACACAAAATGATTTGGTTACTGATTGTTCAAAGATGCAGCACAGATTTGTGTGTGATGTACATGTAAAATGGTTTATGCATGTGTACAGATGTACATGTACAAGTACGGTATGTACATGTACATGTACATTGCATCAATATCACCTGCAGACTGAATGATGCAGACTGCATACTGGTACATACATGTACATGTACCAAACATATTCATGTGTGTGCATGTAGACCTGGATCTAGATACATGTAAATGCAAGTTAAAGATGACTTAAACCACCCCAGTATGTTCATTATTACCTTTTGTGTATAAACCCCACAAGGTAAAATCTGCATGTGGCTTTGAGATGGAACTAGTGCAATAAGATACCCCAGTACATGTAGTGCATCCAGTGAGCTATATGTACATGTACACCGTACTTGTACATTGTACATTCGTGTACATGTTGTATACCTCATGTATTTCAACATGTATACATGAAAAATTATGTGCATGTGTCTGTTATTTTTCATACATGTAGATCCTTGTTATTCAAGGAGACCCGGGTTGTGTGTTGTTTTTATTGGCTGAAATGAAGGATACATGGACGTCAGGAGATGAGCCTTACATGAGTATAGGCCTACATATATTTCAAATTAACCATTTCTATTGTTGCAATAACAAGTTGTTTACCATAACTAACACTGACATTGAATGAACATGTATGTATCTGTCACGAATATATAATTAGAAATTTATTAAAAACAACTTCAGCAAAAGACTCAACTAAAAAATGGAATCATCATTATGATGCAAATTTATTCATTAATACATTTATCTGAAAGACCACCATAACCTTCAAGTTCAACTTGGAAAGCCAAACTCCCCAGCACCAAATTACATGTACATGTACATACATTCTGGTACTAGTTAATTTAATTGAAGGATATTGTTTCCACCCAGTTACCTTTTAAGTGCAGTGAATTTTCAGCCTGACCTTTCCAACTCACTGAAAACAAAAGTGGTGCACGATCACTGTATCAGGGGCTGGAATTCACCACACGCCGTAATTGTCCTTAAAAGGGTTGATCCATACACTGTATCTCCACAGCAAGTCTGTTATGTGTACATGTACATGTGTATACATACACCTATATGTAGGATATGCCCTCGTCACAGAACATGTACATGTACATGCATACACATGTACCGGATGGCCCCTCAGTTGTAGATCTGGCAGTCCAACACTTCGCCTTGTCACAAAAAATGTAAACAAGTATTGTATACCATTTTCTTGACATTCAATCCTTGTGTCTGTCAAAAGTGGAAGTACGGGTACATGTACCATAGCCGAGCTGTTGAAAAGCAGAAATCAGTGAGATAGTGTCAGTTCAGGTGCAAGACTTTGTCAGACATCATTGATTACTGCATCAGTTGACATGAGGTTGAAATCATAGAGAAGATGTTTTGTAGATTTGGATCAAGCAATTAAAATATGGTTTCCCGAAGTGTTTTCATGTGATACTTTTACTATTTCTGTTAAAAGTCAATTAATTTGTCTGTCATGTTATAAGCTCTAGCACCAGCACATTGAGAATTTATGTACATTGTTATATTTTCAAAGAGCAGCAGATGTGTGTATGATGTTGAACATGCAGAATTTCCTTCTTGAAACACACTGTTGGAGTTTTGATGATTCACTAGGTCAAACCATGTTTTTCATTCAGTTTAAAAGCAGATTTTTTGTGAGCAGTTGTTCTGTGAACTGGAAGTTTTAAAATATGTGATGTGAAAACCGAGAAATCACAAAGAGAAAACAACATTTTTGTGACTTTTGGAGATAACGTAGTTATGCGCTACATGTACATGGATGCAGTTTTTGTTTGGATGAACTTTTGCAGTCGTGGAATAGTGGAATAACATTCAGTAAAATGTTATCTACATGTACCTTTATCTCTGTCATGTCTGTAGTGTGTTGTACAATTTTTTGATGTCACAATCACAGCCAGTCAACACAGTTAAACATGTTTTGCGTGTTTGATTGTGTTAGCTCAGGAAGATGGTCCCATGCAAGTTAATGCAAATTAAATGTACATGTAACAAACCTTGTGTATACTAAGTTTGAGTTGTTGGAATTGGAGATTCTTAAATAAGAAGTGCTGTTTGGATCCAGGCTCTTGACTTTACAATTCAAACGGCATGCAGAGATGTGTTGCGTAAGGTTGTAGGCCAGGAAATAGGTCCAGCATTGCCTGCTATCAGAGCAGTATGTGGATGGAATCTACCAGCAGGACTGCCAGCTTGTATTTCTGAAAGTATAAGACCAAACTGGGCCCTCAAAATCTCTCTATTTTGCAATGGAGTGTTGGCAACAATTTTCAAAATAGCAATGGGCACCACGACTGTTTTTAGGGGGGATTTTCTCTGGACAGTGGAATGAAATGTCTTTAACCCTAACAGGCCCAAGTCCTCCAATTTCAGTACGATTTTACATACATCCTTGGGGGTTAGGGTTAAAAGTCATCCTTTAAGCCACTGAAAATTGAG